CCACCCCCCCTCAGCGGCAGCTGCAGCACAGGGAGACGGAGGAGGAGGAGGAACAGGGAACGGCACTCAGTGGCTTCACCCCCATACCCCTCACCCCCAAACCCTAATTCAGGAGAACGGGCTGTAGGAGGGGTGGGGCGCCAGTAGAAGCACGGGGGACAGTGGGGAGGGCAGGGGCAGCGAGGAACGGGCCGCCCACGGGCCTGGCATAGCCGCCCGAACCGCGCGCAGGCGGCCCGAGCCGCGCGCGGGCCTAACGCTTCCCGTACGGGCCGCGCGCGGGCCTGGCGCAGCCCGTACGGGCCGCGCGCAGGCCTGGCGCAGCCCGTACGGGCCGCACGCCGGCTGTACGGGCCGCGCGCAGGCCACGACGGGCGACGGGGGGCGACGCGCGGGTCCCCGTCGCCCGTCGCAACGCCTCCCGGGGGCGACGCGTCGAGTGACGGGGCAGAAGCCCGCCGCGCGCCTCGGGGCGCACAGCGGGCAGAGAACCGCCGCGCGCCACGGGGCGCACGGCGGGCAGAAAACCGCCGCGCGCCTCGGGGCGCACGGCGGGAAGAAAAAACTGCCGCACGCCACGGGGCGTGCGGCACATAGAGTAGCAGCGGAAGTTGCAGCGGAAGCAACGAGGTGGTGAGCCCACCCACAGGATCGATCCAAAGGGATCGACCTGCTCTGATAGCATGTCGAGATAGTAAAGATAGTTAGGAGCCATAGCTAGGAGAACCCTAGCTAGGCAAGAGAAGTTTAGGCAAAGAGGAGTTGCACTAGTAAGAATGGGGATACAAATAGCAAACCCTAGAAGGGTTGTACTCGCTATAGAGCACCCCACTACAGGCTAGAGCATAATATTCTGACAAAAAAAAAAAAAAAAAAACTGGTGTGTGTGTGTGTGTGTGTGTGTTTTTTTTTTTTTTTTTTCCGTTTACCTCTTCAATTGGCTGCATTGCGCCTGTTATTGATCGCATCCTTTTAATGCATCCTTCTATAACGAGTGTAACTTTCGATGCACTAATCCTTACCCAATAAGCAGCCTCGGCTCGGCATAACACCTTAAATGACGTCGGCTTCTAACGAGGATGCAGCGGAGGAGGATGCGGAGGCAGCTGGATCGCCCGAGCTTCGAGTCGCCTCGAAGCTCAATGCGGAAGCGCCATCAGGAATGGCATCCGAAGCGGCAACATCCTTCGAAAGCGCTTCGATTGGCTGGAATATTAGCAGCAATGGTACGCCGAGCGCGAGAATGGCGAACGTGACGACAAAATACGGATTTAATTTATCAAAAAGCTTCTCTTTTGGTGCCAGAAGTCGGGGGACGAGCCGAGGACGACGATATATGACATGGCGGTCTGTGGCTTCACAAAATGAGACAAAGTGACGGAAAGCTACGAATTTGAGAGATAGAAGGGCAGACTACGAGTTACAAATATGGTGGTCCGCAAACGGAAGCTGCTCATGAGAAGCCTTTGAACAGATACGGACCACCTATCACAGAAGTGGTACGACATTCTGATGGTCTAGTCCGCCTAGTTAACGCGATAGTGTGGACAATGCGATATTGTGGTCTTTTTTACTACTAATGCCACCGAGTACTGAAGATATAAACGAAAGCCCTGGAGAGGTGCGTGCGTAGCAGCGGAACGATGCGGCGGACAGAAAATAAGGACTACAGTGGGCTTCAGTTTTCTTAGGCTTGACAGGCAACACTCGTGAATTCTCCGACTAGACCAATAAGGACCAGTTCGTACGGCCACAATGAGAACATACATGGTGTCAGCCTTGTTACAAAAAATGCGTTAGTAGACTGACTTGGGTAGAAAACGTGATATGATTATGTAGGGGGTCTCAAAAGTGGATAAGTTGAGACCAGGGTAGCTTGTTGCGAATTTGTGTGCTCAGAAATAATAACCACGAAGGCTGCATTTGTTGGCAACGTATTATGAATGGACATACAAATATCTCGTTTTTGCTGCCTCATACGTGTCATCGGCAAAGTTGACCACCAGCAGCAAAAACGAAGGCACATGCAATAGTTGTACGGAAAACAGTTATGTTACTAAGCAAGGATATGTTATGATTGTACAAAGAGAAACCTCTATAACATCGAACGTCAATGGCCTGGGCCCAGTAGAAACTATATATATCTAAAGTTGTACTGTAGATGGTGGAGGCGACGTTGGATGGGAGGGCAAAAAATGTTAGGAGATGTTGTAGCGATTGTTTTTTCAATGTTCTTCTCGCTTTCTGTCTTGATGCACAAACAAGCCCCTGGGGAAACCCTTGAAAGGTTTTAGTAGATGCAGGAGTCACAGCAGTAGGAGTAAGTTGACATTTGAGTTAACTCAAAAAGCCAACTCGGGGTAATCTGGGAATTCTTCTAGCCTTCCATCTCGATGCACCAGCAAGCCGCTGGTGCAGCCCTTGAACGGTTTTACTAGATGCAGGATCAGCCGCAAAAGGAGTAGCACGAGTGGGGGTGGTGAAAGCAGGAGCAGCAGGAGCACTACCAGCTAACACCAATAAAGACCCTGATTCGCTTTTCTTTGATGCTGGACCAGAAAAGGGGACAGGAAACCTCCAATAAGGAGCAGGAGCAGCAGTAGGAGTGCCGAAAGCAAAAACCGGACTTGAAGCACCAGGAACGACAGGATTAGAGCCGAAACCAAAAGCCAGAGTCAAAGCACCAGGAACGGTGTTGAACATGGTAGTGGTGCTGGAAGGAAAGCGGCCTGTAGGAGCCACTGTGACTGTAGTGAAGGAGCCTGGTGAGTGAAAGGAAGGGAAGAGAATGATCATGAAGGAACAGCCTTGGGACTTGGTTGCAACATTACGCCTCCATGGATCCTAGAACAGTGCAGAACGGTGCTGAACATGGCTAGCTTCTAGATGGAAAGAGACCTTTGAGAGCCACTGTGACTGTTGTGAAGGAGCTTGGTGAGTGCTTCAAATTCTCCAGCTTCTCTTGCTTCTAGAGCTTCTAGATCTTAGCTCCAGTGTAGTTGTAGCACTTCACAAATCCAGTGTGGTTGTAGGACCTCTGCGGCACCTCAAACCCAACCCTGTGCTACCACAGCCATTGCCCCTGTTCACAAGTCTTTTAATCGAGGACGACCACTGTGTTTTGTCGGCAGGTGCCGTAGCAAAAGCAATTGCTGCACTGCTTCGTTCCGCTCCACATCCTCCCACTGTGGCACCTCACACCTTGTGCAACCTGGCCACTCTCTGCCCTCTCTTCAAGAAAGGAGTGTTTTGGGACGTCTCAAAACCCTCCACATCCCCACTGTGGCACCTCACACCGTGTGCAACCTGGCCACTCTCTGCCCTCTCTTGAAGAAGGGAGTGTTTCGAGACGTCTCAAAACCCTCCACATCCTCCCACTGTGGCACCGCACACCTTGTGCTACCTGCCCACTCTCTGCCCTCTCTTGAAGAAGGGAGTGTTTCGAGACGTCTCAAAACCCTCCACATCCTCCCACTGTGGCACCGCACACCTTGTGCTACCTGGCCACTCTCTGCCCTCTCTTGAAGAAGGGAGTGTTTCGAGACGTCTCAAAACCCTCCACATCCTCCCACTGTGGCACCGCACACCTTGTGCTACCTGCCCACTCTCTGCCCTCTCTTGAAGAAGGGAGTGTTTCGAGACGTCTCAAAACCCTCCACATCCTCCCACTGTGGCACCTCACACCTGGTGCTACCTGACCACTCTCTGCCCTCTCTTGAAGAAGGGAGTGTTTCGAGACATCTCAAAACCCTCCACATCCTCCCACTTTGGCACCGCACACCTTGTGCAACCCGCCCACTCTCTGCCCTCTGTTGAAGAAGGGAGTGTTTCGAGGCGTCTCAAAACCCTCCACATCCTCCCACTGTGGCACCTCACACCTTGTGCAACCCGCCCACTCTCTGCCCTCTGTTGAAGAAGGGAGTGTTTCGAGGCGTCACAAAACCCTCCACATCCTCCCACTGTGGCACCGCACACCTGGTGCAACCCGCCCACTCTCTGCCCTCTCTTGAAGAAGGGAGTGTTTCGAGACGTCACAAAACCCTCCACATCCTCCCACTGTGGCACCTCACACCTGGTGCAACCCGCCCACTCTCTGCCCTCTCTTGAAGAAGGGAGTGTTTCGAGACGTCACAAAACCCTCCACATCCTCCCACTGTGGCACCTCACACCTGGTGCAACCCGCCCACTCTCTGCCCTCTCTTGAAGAAGGGAGTGTTTCGAGACCTCACAAAACCCTCCACATCCTCCCACTGTGGCACCTCACACCTGGTGCAACCTGCCCACTCTCTGCCCTCTCTTTGCAGACATTCTTATGGAGGACGACTCAGGGGGGTCCCTGCACATCCCAGACCCAGCCACCATCCCCTCCCACCTCTCCCCACAAGAAGCCTTCGTTGTAGGCAAGGCCACCCTCCTAGTCACTTGCATATCCACCCTCCTCCTCCCCCTCCTCCTCCTCCTCCTCCTCCTCCTCCTCCTCCTCCTCCTCCTCCTCCTCCTCCTCCTCTTTGTGTGTTGGCCTGCATATTCGAACATGGGCCGATGTTCCCATGGGCAGTGGTCTCGGCACGAGCAGTATAGTGGCAGCTGCTTTGGTGCGAGCGCTGCTGCTGCTGGTCAGAGGGGGAGGGAGAAGTAGGAATGGGGCAGAGAAAACACCTGAAGCAATAGATGGGGCACCTGAGGCAACAGAGAAACCACCTGAGGTGACAGACGAGGAAGTGAGCCAGTTGGTGCTGCTGCAGGAGCAGAGGATGTGCACGGGGGGGAGGATGGCAGGACCAGGTGGGAGGGCTGTACCCAGGAGTCAAGTGCACCACAAGCCTGCCCACTCGCCCCATTCGCCTCGTAGTGGATCCCCTTCCTCTAATACCTGAGTTCCGGTCTGCCCTACAGCAACGCCTCGTGGTTGTGTTTGTGGGCCAGGTGAGCCCTAACAAATATTTGCCACCTCTGTGCTTCTTTACCCCCTGCTGATGCTGCTAGTGTTCCAGACTGCCCTACAGCAACGCCTCGTGGTTGTGTTTGTGGGTCAGGTGAGCCTTCTTTCTCACCATGAGGTGTTGTCTTTGCTCATTCTCGTGCATGATGCATCCATCCACCTCATGACACCTTGAGAAAGAGAACACCTCAGGACACCTTGAGAAAGAGAACACCTCATGACACCTTGAGAAAGAGAACACCTCATGACACCTTGAGAAAGAGAACACCTCATGACACCTTGAGAAAGAGAACACCTCAGGACACCTTGAGAAAGAGAACGCCTCATGACTCCTTGAGGAAAAGAACACCTCATGACACCTTGAGAAAGAGAACGCCTCATGACACCTTGAGAAAGAGAACACCTTATGACACCTTGAGAAAGAGAACGCCTCATGACACCTTGAAGAAAGAGAACACCTCAGGACACCTTGAGAAAGAGAACGCCTCATGACTCCTTGAGGAAAAGAACACCTCATGACACCTTGAGAAAGAGAACGCCTCATGACTCCTTGAGAAAAAGAACACCTCATGACACCTTGAGAAAGAGAACACTTCATGACTCCTTGAGGAAAAGAACACCTCATGACACCTTGAGAAAGAGAACGCCTCATGACTCCTTGAGAAAAAGAACACCTCATGACACCTTGAGAAAGAGAACACCTCATGACTCCTTGAGAAAAAGAACACCTCATGATACCTTGAGAAATAGAACACCTGATGACACCTTGAGAAAAAGAACACTTGATGACACCTTGAGAAAAATAACACATCATGACACCTTGAGAAAAAGAACACTTCATGAAACCTTGAGAAAACGAACACCTCATGACAAGAACGCGTCACGACACATTGAGAAAAAGAACACCGCATGACACATTGAGAAAAAGAACACCTCACGACACCTTGAGAAAAAGAACGCCTCACGACACCTTGAGAAAAAAAGCACCTCACGACACCTTGAGAAAAAGAACACCTCACGACACATAGAGAAAGAGAACACCTCAGGACACCTTGAGAAAGAGAACGCCTCACGACACCTTGAGAAAGAGAAGGCCTCACGACACCTTGAGAAAGAGAACGCCTCACGACACCTTGAGAAAAACAACACCTCACGACACATTGAGAAAAAGAACATCTCTTGACACCTTGAGAAAATGAACACCTCACGACACCTTGAGAAAAAGAACACCTCACGACACCTTGAGAAAATGAACACCTCACGACACCTTGAGAAAAAGAACACCTCACGACACCTTGAGAAAAAGAACACCTCATGACACCTTGAGAAAAAGAACACCTTACGACACCTTGAGAAAGAGAACGCCTCATGACACCTTGAGAAAAAAAAACACCTCACGACTCCTTGAGAAAGAGAACACCTCACAGCACCTTGAGAAAAAGAACACCTCATGGCACCTTGAGAAAAAGAACACCTCACGACACCTTGAGAAAAAGAATACCTCATGACACCTTGAGAAAAAGAACACCTCACGACACCTTGAGAAAGAGAACACGTCATAACACCTTGAGAAAGAGAACACCTCATGACACCTTGAGAAAAAGAACACCTCACGACACCTTGAGAAAGAGAACACCTCATGACACCTTGAGAAAAAGAACACCTCATGACACCTTGAGAAAGAGAACACCTCGTGTATCCCACCCTGTTCTATCCAGCGAGCCTCCCAGTCCTTGATACCCATTTTACTCGTTGTAGCAAAACATGTCAAGTCTGCTATGCAGCTATTAAGCCCATATTCTTCTGTTCACAGTTGTTGTCTGCTGCGTAGCGTCTTGAAGAACACGGTAATCTGTTTCCTGCAACAAGCCTTCCACTTTTGGGATGCTGCAAATGTATCTTTACTATATTTTTTTCACCCTTCAATAATTCACAAGTGTGACTGTCGCGTAATGTCTTGAAGAACATGGCAACTCGTTAATTGCGGAGGGACCCCCACTTTTGAAGCGCCTCATGTCTGCATTACGTCTATTGAGCCCCTTTTCTTGAAATCCCAGGTGCGTTTGGCCCGTAACGTCTTAAAGAATGTGGTAATGCGTTTTTTGGAGCGGGACACTTGCCTTATCTCCACCATCCAACGGGGATGAAGGGGATTCTGAGAGGCATGGGCGAGCCTGTTAGGGTGTATGACTGGGCTGTTGCTGTGTGAAGGGAAGATGAGTTGAGTTTGGCTCCACTCCACTCTGATCGATTAGGGCGGGCCCAAAGTGCACGTTCGAATGCGGTTAAAAAAATTTAGGCTTGATCCGAAGCAGCTAATTCAAACAATAGATGGTTGGGTAGGGTTTCCTGCGAATTCGTGCATTGTTGGACCCGCCCTTATACCGTACCTTTAAAGGGATTTTATTCCATGGATGAGCCTCCGATGTCTATGACTGGGTTTTTTTTTGCCATGCAAAGAGTTGAGGTTATTGTGCTCACATCTCACCTCCTTATAATTGTATGGTTTACTGCATACTGGTTTCACATGGGGAGGCCTTTCACACTCCATGGATGCTGCGATCAGTAGTTAGATCATAACCAGGATCGCCTCAGGAAGGTTCGTACATAGTGTGTGATAATGATGGGCCATTGACATCAATTCACAGTGAATGTAAAATTATTGAGATGATGAAAACATGCAAATACAAGCATATATGTAGTGGTACAAGGGAATATCAATTGTCCTAGCTAGCAATGTACTTTAAGAGAATGGTACATTCCCTTATTCAAATTCAAACCCAACCGTGCGGCGCGTACAATTACGAAACTGTCTCCCCGCTCTTCATCCCTTCTGCAGATGCTGATGCTGATTGATGCTGGTGGTCGAGATGCTCCTCAATTGTTCGTGTCGCTACGAGTCATTTATGACTCTTCGTTCTCTAGCCTCGGTACTGCGTTCTTCGCTTGCTGCTGTCAGAAGTGCACAGTATTCTTTCTTAAATTTCCATTTGTAACAATGGATGAGGCTCTTAGGGTGCGTGACTGACGCCACTAAGCTGTTGCTGTTTGAAGTGGAGAAGTTGTGTTAGGTTTCACACTATAGTGGATCTAAATGGGGAAGCTTTCTCACTTCATGGGTTAGCCATTATGGGTGTTACCGCCTGTTTTCATGGGTGTACCAAAAATTTCTAGATTGAGAGCGCGCTCGAGTACTATGTCGAAGATTTCGCCAGGTGGCAGATGGTCGGAAGTTCGCATTCGCTCCAAGGGAGCTGTTACAATCGCGAGAAATCGTGGAGCCAGGAATCACCCTTCGGTTGCTTGTTGCGAAGTTGGTTGGTTGTTACAACCAAGAATGACTTCCCTAAATCCCCTCCCCAAGCCTGCCACCTCAGTCCATGCAAGCCGAGGATCGCCGCCTCTTCCAGCCCGCCCAGCAGGCACCCCCTTGTACCAACCCCCACCCCACCCTCGCCGTCGCCGTCGCTTCCAACCAGCCCGTCACCACTGCTCAACTACAATCCTTCGCCGTCCCTTTCAACGCAAACCTCAACCGAACTCCCTCGTTCCTCGTACCTTTCAAGGCCCGCCCCATTTCCTTAGTCCCTCGCTTCTCAGTCTGGGTCTGACGTCGTGATGACGGGCTGTAACGCGCCGCTGCCTCGAGTTGCAAGGTGCAACGTCAGATGTTGGAAACTAAAAGTTGTCGGGACACTGAGAAGAAACAAAAACAAACAAGGGGATGTTTTTCTTGGAAAGTAGCGCCGCCCGCCGCCGCGCTCGCTTTCTCGCGTCCACGAATTTTGCAGCTTCTCGGTTTGCCCCTCACGAGTACAGCTGTGCGCCTCTCACGAGTCTCGCCATGACACAAGAGTACGTGGGCACGCGACACGTAAAAGAATTGTTTTGAGGCGTCTCAAAACACTTTTGTTATCACGTGGTTTTGCAGCGGCTTCTCCATGCCGCGCCCCTCACGAGGCTCGATACGGCGCCTCGCACGAGTGGTGTGGGTAATAGTAGCTTCACGGGTGCGGCTGCCATCACCGCCGCAGAGCCATCCATCCCAGCCCAAACCCGACGAATGACTTTTGAGTCGATTCAAAAGTCCGCACGAGTGGTGTGGGTGGGTGATAGATTCACGGATGCGGCTTCAGCCATCGCCGCCGCGCAACCACCCATCCCAACCCAAACCCGACGACTGCACAAACCCCTGAACCCTGGGAGGATAGCTTCAAGGTTGCGGCTGCATATTCCGAGGGTTTTCCGGGTCCTCCGTGGTAGGGAATGCCCGGAGTCGGGGGGCATTCGATTTGGGAGAGAACGAAGTGGTTCAAGGGACTGAGTTGACTATTTAGTCACTTAGAATTCACTCTCGGAACATCACTTTTCTGTTCAAAGTCGCATTCAGCCTCACTTCTCTGTCTAGTAATAGTCCTCCTACCAATCATGGAGCGCCCCGCAGCATCATCTCTCATAGTCATCCTGCTCTGTAAGCTCTGCCGCACTGCCGCTACTGCCACTTCGACGTGATCCAACTCTCTCTCCTTCTCTGTTTTGCGACTCTCTCCTGCTGCGTCTTTCTCTCCTGCTGCAGCCACTTGGTCCGCGCAGCATCTGCGACTCTAAACCCTGCCCGGGGTAGCATCTGCTGCATTGGTAGCAAAGCAACGTGATGTTGATTGCTGTTGCGGGATTTTCTCCGCCTGTCATTGGCCGAGGGCTGTGGATTGTGACGAGGCTTTAGTAATGTTTGTAAACTTCAAATTCAAACTTGTAATGTTACAAGTTGGTTGCTGACAGTTCCAGTGCCAATCTTTGAGGCGCCTCAAAAGTTGGTTGCAGACAGTTCCAGTGCTGATCAATCAATGCACGCCTCTCATCGTGGTGACTTTTGAGTCCACTCAAAAGTCACCTTTTGACGTTTTAGTGGATGTGAGGCAGTTTTAAACTGTGGTTACAAGTTGGCTACAGACAGTTCCAGAGTCAGTCGCCGCTCATGTTGGTGTTGCATCTAAGAAATCTCAAAAGCAATATCAACGTTGCTTTTGAGAAATTTCATATTCCAACTGTTATTACAAGCTGGTTTCTGACAGTTCCCGCGTCAATTCATGCAGTCCCCTCATCGTGACTGTCGACAGTCATGTTCTCCCCTGCTCTGTCGTGACCTGCTCTATCCTGATCCCCCCTGCTCGGCCCTGTTCTACCCTGCTCTGCCTTGCTCTGCCCTTCTCTGCTCTGCTCTGCTCTGCCCGCCAGGTGCGGCGCTCTTCACAGCTGCAGCGTCTGCGGCATCAGTCCTCGAGCCATTGCTCCCACACGATAGCACCGTTTCCACCTCATCTGCCACATCTGCCGCATCTGCTGCATCAGCCGCATCTGCTGCATCAGCCACATCTGCCACATCTGCCACATCTGCCGCTCATGCGAAGCCGCTTTTGAAAGGGAAGACTGTCAGTAAGTCCTTCACCAGATTGCTCCTTTCACTGTTGTTCTACGAGTCAGTGCAGCTTCCTCAATTCTGATCCTTTTAATGCCTCCCCATGCGCCCCTATCCCTGCCTATTCCTTGCCTTTCTCAGTGAATAACATGGGCAATCTGCGTCCTCCTCATTACTGATCCTTTTACTGCCTCCCCATGCGCCCCTATCCCTGCCTATCCCTGCCCTTCCCACTATCTCAGTAAAATACGTGGGCAGGCTGCGTCCCACTAATATCATTTCCCATGCGCCCCTATCCTTGCCATTCATCCTCAATTCTGATCCTTTTACTGCCTCCCCATGCGCCCCTATCCCTGCCTATCCCTGCCCCTCCCATTGTCTCAGTAAAATACGTGGGCAAGCTGCGTCCCACTAAGGTCAATGGGAAAGTGGTTGGCGACAAAGGGGCATCGGGGAAAGTCGTAATAAAGGGTATCAGGTACGTGCGCCTCCGGGTGATTCTAGGTTGCAGTTTCAGTCTATTAGTGCTAGCATTGCAACAGACAGTCTGCGATGCAGTCAGCGAGTGAGCCATGTTTTGAGTCACTCGAAACGTGATTCTAGGTTGCAGTTTCAGTCTACTAGTGCTAGCATTGCAACAGACAGTCTGCGATGCAGTCAGCGAGTGAGCCATGTTTTGAGTCACTCGAAACGTGATTCTAGGTTGCAGTTTCAGTCTATTAGTGCTAGCATTGCAACAGACAGTCTGCGATGCAGTCAGCGAGTGAGCCATGTTTTGAGTCACTCGAAACGTGATTCTAGGTTGCAGTTTCAGTCTATTAGTGCTAGCATTGCAACAGACAGTCTGCGATGCAGTCAGCGAGTGAGCCATGTTTTGAGTCACTCGAAACGTGATTCTAGCTTGCAGTTTCAGTCTATTAGTGCTAGCATAGCAACATACAGCGATGCAGTCAGCGAGTGAGCCATGTTTTGAGTCACTCAAAACACGATTCTAGTTTACGGTTTCAGTCTATTAATGTTAGTATTGCAACAGACAGTCAGCAATGCAATCAGCGGTGCAGTCAGCGATGCAGTCAGCGAGTGAGCCAGCATGACACATAGCAGGCTGTGCCCTTTCTAGTTTTGAGGCGCCTCAAATTTGAGCCAGTACGAGACATAGCAGGCTGTGCCCTTTCTTGCTCCTGTAAAAATGACCCCTTACACCCCCACCTCCCGTCGCCCTCCCATCCCCATCCCCATCTTCCCCTTCCCCGTCCCCCTGTTCCCAGTTCCTCCCTACCCCCTTCCCCTCTCCTTCTCCCCGAATTCCATTTCCCCCTCCCCTGTCCCACCTCCCCCGCTTCCCTGTGTCCCCTGTCTCACCTCCCCCGCTTCCCTGTGTCCCCTGTCTCACCTCCCCCGCTTCCCTGTGTCCCCTGTCTCACCTCCCCCGCTTCCCTGTGTGTCCCCTGTCTCACCTCCCCCGCTTCCCTGTGTGTCCCCTGTCTCACCTCCCTCGCTTCCCTGTGTCCCCTGTCTCACCTCCCCCGCTTCCCTGTGTCCCCTGTCTCACCTCCCCCGCTTCCCTGTGTGTCCCCTGTCTCACCTCCCCCGCTTCCCTGTGTCCCCTGTCTCACCTTCGCAACTACCCCTCTCAATGCCCGGTTGGCAGATATGCGTCAACATCATATGCTAACAGCTGGTTTTTCCAAGTCTTGAACATTGCATCTGGAGGGGAGCCACCCTCAACAAGCTTCGGGGCTTCATGCATTCCTAACAGCTTCGAACCACCGCTGAGCAAAACCTGGGTGGACGTCACAAGCAGCAAGAGCGCTCGCCGCAAGCATTACAGCTTTGTTGTGAAGGAGTTTTCCGGGGCAAAGAGCTTGGCGGAGGTGCGGAGCGCGATGGAGGAGGCCATGGCGAGTGGGAGGTTCTTGAGGGTGAACCATTCAAACAACAAGCTGGTGCTATGCGGAAAGCTGATCAAGGTGATATAATGAGTGAGGTGGCTAATTTGGTGTTGGTTTATTTCAGCAAGCTGGTGCTCTGTGGAAAGATCACCAGAGTGGTGTAATGAGTGCCGTGATTGAATTGATGTATTTTTGTAAGTGTTTCGGTCCGACGCTGGTTTGCCTTGCCATCTGTCTCGTACGGTACATACCGTACATACGGGTCACTGGCAACGTTCACCACCAGCAGCAGAAACAAGTCAGGAGCAACAGCTGTACAATATGACAGTTTGGTGACACACTAAGCAAGATTATGACTGTACAAGGAGCAACCTCTATAACATCAAACCTCAAAATTCGGGCTCAGTAAAAACAACACATATCTATAGCTGTACTGTAGATGGTGGAGGCGACATAAGACGAGAGGCCTAAAAACGTTAGGAGATGTTGCAGCGATTTGTTCTTCTCGCCTTGTGTCTTGATGCACAGGCAAGCCCCAGGTGAAAGCCAGGAGCGGTTATAGTCGATGCAGAAGCGGTCGCAACAGGAGCAAGTTGACATTTGAGTCGACTCAAAAGCCAACTCGCGGTTTTCTGGGAATTCTTCTAGCCTTCCGTCTAGATGTATTGGCAAGCCCCTGGTGAAACCCTTGAACTGTTTTACTAGATGCAGGATCAGCCGCAAAAGAAGTAGCACGAGCAGTGGTACCGAAAGCAGGAGCAGCAGCAACTGTGGCAGGAGCGGCGGGAGCAGAAGTGCCGAAACCAAAAGCCGGAGTTGAAGCACCAAGCGCGGCAGAAGCAGAACCCAAACTAAAAGCCAGAGTTGAAGCACCATGTGCAGCAGGAGCAGAAGCGAAACCAAACGCCGGAGTTGAAGCACCAAGAGCGGCAGGAGCAGACCCGAAACCAAAAACCGGAGTTGAAGCACCAGAAGAGGCAGGAGCAGAACGGGAACCAGTAACCAGAGTTGAAGCACCAGGCACGGAAGGAGCAGAAGCGCCGAAACTAAAACCCGGTTTTGAAGCACCAGGCGCGGCAGGAGCAGAAGCAGCACGAGTGGGAGTTGAAGCACCAAAAACCGGAGCAATGGCAGGAGAAACCGACGAAGAAGAACCAAAGACAGGAGCAGAAGCTGCAGCGGGAGCGGCAGGAGCGCAAACGTTAAAACCAGTAGGACGAGCAGCAGGAGTGGGTGAGGGAGAAGTGGCGAGAGAGGGGGCAGAGGTAGGAGAGGGAGCACAGGCCGGAGCAGAGGCGGTAGAGAGGGCAGCGGCGGGAGAGGGAGCAGCGGCGGGAGAGGGAGCAGCGGCGGGAGTGAAAGAAGACGCAAGAGAGGGAGCAGGGGCGGTAGAAGGGGCAGCGGCGGGAGAGGGAGCAGAGGCAGTAGAGGGAGCAGAGGCGGGAGGGGGAGCAGCAACGTGAGAGGGAGAAAAGGCGGGAGAGGGGGCAGAGGTGGGAGGGGGAGCAGAGGCGGTAGAGAGGGCAGTGGCGGGAGCGGGAGCAGCAGCGAGAGAGGGAGCAGAGGCAGTGGAGGGGGCAGCGGCAGTAGAGAGGGCAGCGGCGGGAGCAGGAGAAGAGGCGGGAGCAGAAGCAGTGGACGGAGCAGCGGTGGGAGAGGGAGCGGCGGTGGGAGGGAGAGCAAAGGCAGGAGCAGGGGCGGGAGAAGAGGCTGCAGTGAGAGCGGTGGCAGCGTCAGGAGGTGGAGGTAGATGGGTCGACTCTGTAGCAGAGGCGGGTGACGGAGCAGAAGTGGTAGAAGGAGCAGAAGTGGTAGAAGGAGCAGAAGTGGGAGCAGCGGCGGTAGATGGGGCAGCGGCAGGAGGGGGAGCGGTGGCAGCGTCAGGAGGTGGAGGTAGATGAGTCGACCCTGAAGCAGAGGCAGGGGAGGGAGGAACTGCAAGAGCTTTTGCTGTTGCTGCTGGTGCTGCTCCTGTAGCTGCTTCTGCTGCTGCTACTGCTGGTGCAGCTGCTGCAGCTGCTTCTGATGCTGCTACTGCTGGTGCAGCTGCTGCTGCTTCATAGGACGAATGGGATTGAATCAGGCCGGGAGGGGTGCTGACGCCGACAGAAACGCTGGCGCCGTGGGTAGTAGTAGCACAGTTGACGTGAGATTTCACGTTGACTGCGTTGACAGAGTCAGTTATGCTGACGGAATCTGTCAAAATGGCGGAATCTGTCAAAATGGCGGAACCTATCACGCCATCACTGTCATATATTCTCACTATCAGTGGGTTCTGCTTCTGAAGAACAAACGCGTCATAGAGCTCCTCGTCAGTGGAAAGCGTCAGCACGTCTCCGTCCGTGTCAGTGTATTTGAGAGAGAGGCGCTGTTCAGCGGGTTTTTTGAAGTGCTTGCGGATTCGAAGGTCGACCAGGTCGAATGGCGGAGGGAAGCAGTCGAGAAACGCGATGCGACGAATAGCACTGGTTTCGCCGAGATAGGCCTGCGATTTGGATAGAGGAGGGGGAATTTCGGGGAACCGGGAATTTCCATGGAAAGGAAGGGAGAAGGGTGAGGGAGGGGGTTGTGGTGGAGAGAGGAAAAGAGGGGAATTGGAGAAAGAAGGTGGAGAGAGGTTGGGAGGAGGTCAGACGGCAGAGAGAACCAAGGAGGCCAGAGGCGGCGTAGAATACTAGATTTAAGTTCTGATTGAAGGGTGAAAACTGGAAGGAAGGGAGAGAGAAAAGGAGGCCTGAGGGAAGCCTTTCTAGTCCTCCGCTGAGGCGACTCCGAGTTGGAGGATATCCTCGCGCGAGGAAGGACCTTAAAATGATTAAGGCGCATCGAAAGGAGTCCGCCATGAAGACGATGTAAATGACGACGGAACCGTTTTTTTAGTCGACTCAAGAAGTATGCGCGGGCGAGGAAGGCACTATGAGCAGGGCGGCGAAACCTTTTTACGTGCTTATAAAACGGTTCCGCCGTCATACGTCTTACTTTTTGGATTGAATGACGGGCGAGGAAGGAAGTCCACTATGAGCAGGACGGTGAGACCTTTTTATGCCACATATTGGAAAAAATAGCACGGTGCTATTTTTGTGCTAACACACGACCTACAAGCTCTTGTGATATCATGATGATAAAGGCTGAAAATTGAAGTCCGCGATTGCATGTTTCGCGTGTTCGGACTAGGCAACGCAAGTAGGGAAACGAATCATGTAGCCGCACTTGAGCTCACCTTAATTACGTAGGGTGTGCGACACATGGTGAAATTGCATCCGCATGGTCGACAGGAACATGCTGTGAGAACGTCCGCCACGGATTGGCAACTCGGAAGCGCGTCGACGGTCATAGGTAATAACAGGGCTGGTGCGGGACTGGCAGTCATCGCACGAAGAAATGTGGCTTCCAGCAATTTGCTGGAAGCCTTCCTAGTGACTCCCGATTTCGGGAGTCCTGTCAATCGGCTTTCAATACGGGGGGGTAATTGTGGGGCAACAGAACCACCCTGCAGTCAACCTGATGTCACCCGAAACCAACCTGCGAGGCGATTGAAATGTGTAAGTTGCACATCGCATGTCAGTTGGGCGAGTAATCGAATTTGTTACCTTCGGAAACGAAAAGAAGGCCATCGCACACGCGAGAATTGAAGATTTCGGTTGTAACCACTCGCGTAACAAATTTGTTAAAGTTGGTTACCACGTGATATCAAAATGCTTATGCATAAAATCGGAAAAAGTATTTGTTAAGAGATATTTGTTCGAATTGAAGATGTGACAATACGACAATTAAAAATGATAACTACACTGTTATCGTAAAATGAGATTTGATCGCACAGAACAGTAAAATAGCGTTACGGTCATTAAACCAAAACAGATACGAGAATATATTAATCGGTCGTTACGAACAATACTAAACGATTAGAAATTAGCCAACATTAAAATATCAGAAGCTACATTAAATCTACAAATGCACTATACCTAAACTAATCTACTAAATATCATCTACAATCTGCCAATCCTTCACAATGACATCTCCAAAATAGTAGAACCCACTGACAAGTGGAATGCTTGCGCGACGGACCCAGCGCTCAACCTGGAACTTCCTCTTGGTCATTTCACGGGTGTTGTTCTCGGAGTCAGAAAACATGCTGCTTCGATCACGATATAACATCTCGAACTCCACCTGCCAAGAAAGAGCAAATGAAATTAAACGGCTGATAACGACAAGATAAAGCATTCTAGAAACAGGATCGCTCACCGCGACCATGGTGTAGCACAGCTGGTCAATGCTCAGGGTGTAGACACCCTCCTCTTTCTTCTGCCACTTGCTTGCAGCAGCTAAGAAGGCCTCGCTGCAGAACGGCTTGTCCTCAAAAACATGCCACGGCAGGCCAAACTCCTCTGGAAAAAAAAAAAAAAAAAACATGTCAGAAACATATCATAACTACAGCAACAGCAACAAAAAACGTAACGTACCAGAGACGCAGGACCGCGCATAATCGCGCCGATCCTCAACGGAGCCCTTAACGGCTTTGTTGTCGGGGACATCAACAGCTTGAAACTCGCCTTCCGGGACTTGTTCCCGAGTTTCCCCCGCCGGCCGTTGCAAATGTCGGTGCACTTCTTCGCCCACTCGCCCTTCTTCCAGTAATCGTTAAATTTCCCGAAGTCTTCGGGATCCAGAGCGAGGTGCACCACGACGGCCGCCCTGAACTGGTCTTCGTCAGGGTAAATGACTCGCTGGGAGACATCTGATCCCTTGAGCAAATCATCGCACGCCTTCTTACAGGCATCCTGCTAAAAGAACGAGAAGAAATTAGAACATGATTCACACACCACACTGAACAACAAGTAGATAACAGATACTTACTTCCATGGTTTTCTCGTTGCACCAGCTCGGTTGGTGCACAATCTCGAGAAGATTCTTCACAGTAGCAGCCAGAGTCTGATGAATCTCATCAGATACGCGAAGCCGGTTTTCAATTCGCAGCATCAGAGTGCGAACGTCTTGCAGATCGCCGCGTATAGCAGCGTCGATGTGGTTGTACGAGTTGGCCTCTGGGTGATGAACATCACGATCTGACGAGCGCAACGCTGAAAACACGAGAGAGAATTAAACGAGCACAGCGTTATGGCACTTGAATGTTTAAAATATGGTCAGATGAACGTTGGAAAAAGCACTGAGACAAACAACATAATGATACGTAAAACGTACCGCCAGTTCCAGCAGTCGCGACGACATTTGCGGCTGCACCACGTTGCGCTACCGGTGCAGTAGCGTTCGAAGCGTCGTGGGGAGAGGCAACTCCATTCTCCGCGGTGTGCTCGGCATCAAGTGCCTCAAGGTCTTGCAGAGGCGGGGGTTGCGCAGGCAGAGCGCTCGGGGTACCCACCTGCTGGGCAGGAGTAGAAGTTCTCCGAGTCCCTGTGGTTGGGCTACCAAGCTCGTAGCCTTCGAGACGCCTATTAGAGGTTCGGGATCTCTTACGCTGCAACTCCATTATTTCTGCTGGCACGCCTATCGCCATGTTTCCTAAATTGCCCACTACCAGGCATAGGGCACGTAGTTGAAAAAGAGGCAAAAAAATAGTGAGACTTGGTGGAAGTTGGAGCACGGGAACAAGCTCGGCTGGTTGGAAACGAGGAGAAGCTGCTCCTGTAGGACATGAGATGAGTAGCACAGGTGGTAGGAATTGACAACTAATAGGAATGTTTCCATGGGTAGTGTTGACAGCGTGATGGTTCACCCCGAGCTATTTCAAAACCAAATAATTACACCAATCCTGCAGTTGCGATGGGAATGGACCACAACGTTAAACGCTAGTGCGCGAGATGATAACATCACTTAGCTTTGTAGCGAGAAGTTTAGATAAGTACTGAACAGCATTACACAGAACATGCGAATTGAAATCAACAATAAGTGCTTTGCTTCGGTTTTCGAAACGATTTTGGCCTTGAAATACGCCAAAACACTGCACACATCGGTGCTGTATCTGGCAAGGAATGGTCCCAAAACACATACGTGCCAAACAACGCGACAACTGCGCCGCACAACACCGAACATATTCAGCGAACAAGGACAGTGCAACAGGTTCCGTGACGCGTATCTTGCCACGCGTGAAGCGAGGCATGGAAGTCCAACGAATGAGAGGTTTCGTGCCAGCGAAGCTGTTAACATTGACGACGTCACTGGGAGGCTGACAGCTGCCGGTGACATCATCCGAAGGTGTCACGAAGGACCCTTTTCAACTGTGCATCGAACCCTGCCACAGCCTAACAATGGCACGGTGGACACAGCACAGCTGGCAGACTACTGTGGGCTAGCCAACGCGGCAGGAAAGGCAACCACGCTGCGCGGCAGCATGCCAGCAAGCAAAAGTGTCATGATTACTAGCGTGGCGCAATATCGCCAACAACGCACGGGTGAAGTGTCACACTTCCATCGGGAACAAGGAATTATAGGGGAGAAATCGCGGGTTCGTTTCAACAAGTGATGCTTACAATATTCGAAATACAGTACTGCTTGTGTTATGTCAATCGTGTTTTAATAAAATTTAAACTTGTTCATCACAAAGAGCCCCTCACTAACGGAAACCATATGAGCTACGCGCAGAATGTTATCAAGCTCAAGCAGTTGGTACTCGTTATCACCTGCCTCCCAAGCATACACCGGGCATTTTGATGCGTGCACCGCACCAGTGGCTCTGAAATAGCGGACAAATGCGTATGCGCGCTTGGAAAACGCCTTTGTCTCTGTCGCGTATACGTCGATGGTAAACAACAGCAGCAGCCTTTCATACCATATCACCTTGCGCCTTGTCGTCTGGCCTCCTACAGCCTCAATCTCCTCTTCACCAAGCACTGCTACATCGTTGAACCATGGTTTGTCGCCGAAAGACGCGCACGCTCGCACATAATGTGTCTGGCTGGAGTACTTGGTGAAATCCTCGTCGCCAGGGATAGCCATGCCGTTCTTCACGCGTATGGTACCATTTAGTACCTCGCCTTCCTCGGCCTTGCCTTCCAACAGCCCCGCGAGCTTGGTCATGTCACCCGGCGCCGCCAGCGCATGCGCTGTCCACTTGTCACACCCATCCTCAATGCTTTCCTTCCAGCTTACACTGAAGCTGGTGGCTGCAAGAGTGTTGCTACCGCTCTCCATAGCCTGCAAAATGCATGTCCATTAAGGCATGGGTGTAAAAAAAAGGCTCGTTGTTAATGCGAGGTCGAATACAGGCACCCAAATACGTTTCAACTTGACTTGAAGCTCCAAGCTCACAAGACATAATCCCAGTTACGCACACTTGCTCACGCATGCACAAACCCTCACACACACACACACACACACACAGACACACACACACACACACACACACACACACACGCATATAGACACACACACACGCACATAGAGACACACACACACACATACACACACACATACACACACACACACATACACGCATGCGCACACACACACGCTCACACACACACACGCGCATGCCCACACACACAGTTACATACACACTCTTGCACACACACACACACACACACACACACATATACACCCACACACACATATACACGCATGCGCACACACACACTCTCACATAGACACACACACCCACACCCACACACACACACAAACACATACATACAAGCGCGTACCTCCTGTAGTGCAACCATTCGCTTTGGTCCATCCTCGCTCGGTGCCTCCGATGCTTGGAGCACGCGTAGCATGTGCATTCGCACATCGTGCTTCACAATTTGAGGGATAGGATCCCTCTTGTTGCTTGCACGGTACGCTCGCTTCACGAGAGGTTGATGGAGATACTCGTACATGTTGGCGCTGTAATGCATCGGCACCCCCGATCGAATGATGTCCTCCACCACGTGTGCCAATGAATGCACTTTGGTGATGTCGAACTCCGACTTTTGAAGGCCTGCAAAGACTTCCTTCAAGAGCGGAATCAACCTGGTGGAGGGTATGGCACACATGGAGAACATTGAAGAGACAAAACTCAATGGGCGCAAAACAAATAGTAACACAAAACGTCGCAACACATTGGCAAGCATGGAAGGCAAGGAATGAGAGACATCGAACTAAAAAGAGAATAAAACGGATGAAAAAAACAATACAAGCAACCATGCACAGTTGAGAAAGAAGCCTACCTCTTGATGGCCTCATCAAGCTCTTGTAGAGTCTTCGAGGTATGATACCAACGCCGGACTGCGAGCATGTAGCAATCCACGAATGCCGCCACCGCACCAACCACCGAGTTCGGCACGCCGCAATTTGCAAGCACGATCGTGATCACTTGCATCACCGCGCGATGCTCAAACGCTTGAAACCGTACAGCACCCGCAAAGTAACCACCCTTCTCGGAAGATGGGACGGAAACCCGAGATTCGGGTGTCGGTCGCAATGCGCTGCAACTCGGTGTCGAGGGAACGAAGAAAGTCGCGATCTCGTGCGTAATACGCCCGAATGCAGGAAACGATGTGCAAGAAGACACCAAGGTCCATCGCGTGCATCACCTCGACAAGTAAGGCTCGATATGGATTGCCGACAGGGGTACGTCCGCCTCTGAAGCCCCACAAGGCTACCTGCGCATGGGTGAGTGGGAGAAGTATAGTTAGCACACATGAAATAGAACCCACACAACTATGACAAAGTATGACAGGCTCGCAAATTCATAGTAGAAGGTATGCGGGTTGAACGTATGCGCGTACACACACAACAACAGATGCTATAAGGTATGGACGCACTCGCAGACCATACGTACCTTGATGGGATGAGTTCTGATTGCTTTTGATGCCTTGTTGCGCTCGGACCCACTCGGCAACGCCAACAACGCTTCGACTTTCTCGCTCTGGTCATCTTCCGTGCGAAATTGGACCACCGCCTCCATGTTGCTTATGTCTTCACGTTTCACGAGACACTTGTGGCATGGGAACATCACCTTGTGACTTGCAAACGTCCCCGCCAGCTTGCAAGCTTCCGGATGATCGGCCACATATGCGTAGACAGCGGGAAACACCACTTGCGACTGCCCAAAAGGGTCTTTCGTTAGAATGCCACTGCGCAGGTCATAAACAGTGTTGAACATGGGAAAGATACAACGAGAAAAGGAGGGGATATGGATGTGCATTTGAGGTGAGAAAGCAAAAGATCATCGAAGCGATAAAACATACTTGCTACGCACACACAAGCATCTAGTAGAATGAAAAGCACACACCCGCACACACAAGCATCCCGTAAAATGAAACACACACACCCGCACACAATAGACACTCACCCGTAAGATGCTTCCTTGAGTTCTTTGAGAACCACATCCAACGCCAGTTGGAATACCTCCCGATGAAGCGCCTTCCCCTCGTCCGTCCTCGAGTCCACGTTCGGAAGCGGCGGAAGCATAGCAACCATCCGATGCCCGTGTGGCTGCCAACGATTCTTGAGCGTGACGTTTCCGAGGGTGAAATAGACCGGATGTCCCGTAACACGCCCATCGTTGCTCAAGTTTGTGCCGTCGCTGTACAGGATGCACGCTGCAATTACACCACCCCTCGGGCACTCTTCTTGCATCTTGATCCATCCATCTCCCGTCTCGGGCCCCGCGTATATCCGCTGCTTCTTGTCGGACGTGTAGACTGCAGCCGGTTTCACCACAAAGCCGTCTCTATTCGCGCTGTCCGAATACATCGCCACCAATGCTTCTACTATGGAGGTTACGTGCACAGTAACTTTCATGCCGTTGCTCAACTCCACCTCAACAGCTCTCCATTCCACCGTGCCCGTAGCCTCCGCCAGTATCGACTTTTCGTACTTCGCCAAGCCAGCACTGTTCTTGTATGACGGCTTCATGTAACCGGCCTCGTGCAAGACGCTCAGTAGAGTGTTAATGTCAGTTGCCGACATCCCCATGCCTCCATTAAAACCCCGATTCGCCTTCGCCAAAGCTAGGTCTGTGTCAAATGGAAGTTTCTATGGACTAGGATCTGCCGTTGCATCCGTGGTCGAGAATTCGATGTCATCACCGTCGCCGTCGCTGTCATCCGACGTCGGAAAGTCAAACGGGGGAGGGTTCACACTGGTTTGTGCAGATGGTGCTCCGCTAGTGGTCAAAGGCGGACTTGCGGCGGCACGTGGAGCAACTCGTGCACGCAGCAGCCTGTTCACGTCATTAGCTCGCTTGCGTTTCAAACCCTCTAGAATCCGTACATTTGCACTCTCTGACGCAGTTAAGCGCTTCGTACAAAACGGTTTGTGATTAATCAAGCCCTGTCCAGTAGTGCAGACGAATCCACAGCCACATGTAAACTCCATTATCAGTAGATAGGATACAAGGATCCCTAGCACCCTGTGGTGCTATCTAGGAGAAGAAAAATAGTGTTCTAAGCTTAATGGTGAACAATAACAAGCATGGTCTAAAATATATGCAAGATCTTCATCAACATCCCCTGGACCTGCATGCAAAGACCACAGCGCACAAACGGTCATGGCCCTCAGTTGCAATAGGGGGCAAACTGGCGCTGGAAAACGAAAATGGCAAAATACATTAAAAAAAAAAACACTAAAAACGGTACTGACCCCAATAATCCCTCAAGCCGCGGCATTTTCGCGCATTCTGCCACGCCTCGGCACGCGGCGCATCCGATGGTGCGGCGACGAAGTCGCTATTTCTGTCGGGGCGACCTTAACACTAAAGTACATAAAAAAAATGAGCTCGAGTCGCGCCCTACGATCTACCCTAATCTGGACGAGCACCCGTCTTACATGCGGGACGAGGCCGCGTATGCATGGCGAGGCGTCGTTTCATAAAAAAAAACCGCCGAACTCGGGTAAACCGGGCGGTTCCAGCGAGTTAGCGGGTTCCAGGGAGGCGCCATGGCGGGCTCCTTATAAACTAGCTCTACGGGAACAATGTGCACTTCGAGTGAGGAGGGAAATGGAGGGGTTGGAGGGGAACGGCTGCATGATGCGGGCACCAGCCAAAATAGCGCAAAAACGTTCTCAACTGCGTTCCACACCCTACGCCCCTAACTGCCACGGCGACAAAGCAAAAAGTTACGTGCCGTGTTCGCACGTAACAGGGAGTGCGACTCCGTCAACATTCTGGACCAGTATAACTTTTCGCGCGCTGGAAATGAGCCGTCCGAACGGCTCATTTACCTGGTTACCGCTACGGTCAGTCGCCAACGGTAAGTGTTCTGGTAACCGGAGGCGTACGCGTCTACATTTTCGTACGGTAATGAGACAATGTGATTCCATAAAACCTTCAAAAAAATTGCATACATAGACTTGTTCATTTTCAGACTTCACTATTTTTTTTGACAATTATTAAACTATGTATATTAACGAAATCAGTTTAAACACGCCACTCATGTAAGTGGTTAAAATAAAGTTAAAGACAACAACTAATGCTTTAGTAATGTAATGTAAAACAAACACCATAGTGTACAGAACAAGAAATATTATTTCAGCGCGGAGTTCTAAAAACCACCGCACCGAATACCACCGAGCGGTGTCCATCGACCGAACGGGTTGAGTTTTGCACCGACTGCCCGCTAACTGCTCCGTGACTGCACAAATCGAAATTAGGGTAACTGCGGGAGATCGCAGGCAGTTCGGAAACGGAGGGCAATTAGAAAAAAACACCGCAAGCAAACTGCAGGGATGCGATATCGCCAAGCTTACCGCCGGCTGTTTCCCCGCGAACACCAGCAAAGTTGCGATGGTCGCTATGAAAGGCTGGACTGGGTGACGCGTGCTTGATCAAGATTGTCTGATGTGGAGCGTAACGGAAAAGGATGCCAAAACGGAGATGCGACGATGGCAAGAGTGGAGGAGGACACCTGTTTAAAACAGACGCTCAACCTCAACTTGTTTTTAAGGTCTCAAGCGCCGCTTTTGACGGCCTTTCAAACGAAAGCGCTGGGCTTTCTTGAGATGTACGAAAGTTGGTTGTCGCAAAGAGAACCAGACTTATGAACCGAATTTCTTGTAGTTGAACACCAATAATCCACCTGGGTTGGGCTGCTAACCGCGAACTAAAATCTCCGCAAAAAGTTCTGGAATGGCTAGCAGCAGCCACCTTCGCCAAGTCAAAACAGCAGGTTTGGCCAGACGTGTCCGCAGATAGCCGTTGCGCTCTAAGCAGCAAGGAACCCATTTCAACCGAATTCAAAAGATACAATTGAACATCCAACCACGTAATTACACAGCCAAAGCCACACATCAAACGTGTCTGGTCGTCCTTCGAACCTCGAATCAGAGTCGAGTCGCTCTCGGCTTCGCGCGCGACATTTTGAACCATTCGACAGTTCGATGTTGTCTCGTCACAAGCGAGTTACAAACATCTATTGGTATGTGAGAATGTATAAATGCTGAATTTACTCAGCATATTGATGGAAGGGGAATTAAGCTAGGGTTCTTTGCTATCAATTGATGACGCGCGAGCTTGCATCTCGGCTGAAATACGTGAGCCCTTCAAATAATCAGATGGGGTGACAAGAAAGCGAGGTGACTAGTCTGGAAGCTGCTCCCTCATAAAGCCCAGTACGATGTTGACATCTCCACATACTAGTGACAACACACTGGTTGTCATGCATCACTGCTATCCATACGGTACCTAGGGCCCTCAGATTTCATCCTTTCCATGCTGATCCAGTAGCCCTTAACCGTATCTCATACCCGGGCTGATTTATAAGTCAATACAATAATGATATTAGTGCAAATCTGCATTTTGTGCTTATTTTCTGTGGAAAAATACCTGACGACTCTGATTCTTCAGCCTGCCCAGAAATTTGACGTGTGATTGGAGATGGATGGAGGGGTACATCTAACCTAAACGTCATAACACCCCAGACTCTACGAGCTTCCAGGTCTCGAGACAGGTAATTAGGAAAGGATGAAGGACGTGAACGTGGGCTCGGAAGAATATAAGCTGGGGACGATGTATGGAAGAGCAGAGGCGCGCGACATACAGGAGAGACAGAATATGAAGGGAAGGGAGGGGGGGAGAGGGGAGGACAGAGAGGGGAGAACGGAAAAGGGGGTGCCTGCGAGGAGGGTTTGACGGAGAAAGGGGAACGGGGAGGGTTGACGTAAAGCGCGAGTCGAAGAGGGGAAGACGGAGGGGTAAACGGAGGGGGGAAGACGCGGGAACGAAGAGGAGTGGCGTAGACGGGGAGATGGAACAGGGGAGATGGAGAGGGGAAGAGAAAAGAACTAGGGAGGGACTCGAATGATGGAGAGAGGACGAAGGTGGAGGAGAGAAAGAAGATACATGAAGAGATGGAAAAAAGGGGGAAAGGAGGGTGTGGGTGGGCGAGGCGGGGCAGGCGACACCAGGGAAAGGAGGTTTCGGAGGAAGATAACGACAGGCGAGAAGATCGAAAGAAAGAAAATGTGGACTCTGATCTGTTTAAAAGAAAAGGTTCAAGTTGGTGCCAGTTGTCCTCTAGATGCCACTGTCACAATTTGTCGTCGAGTGATTCATCGCGTCGAACAGGGTTGGCCAATGAACGTAACAACTTAGGAAAAGCTACAGCAATGTTAAAGAAAAAGAGGTACTTCATTAGAAAAAATAGGAGAGCACATTTTGCAGCTTATTTTTCTCAAATTATCTATTTACGTCACCAGCTGGAGGCTGAGAAGCTCCTCCTCCGGAATGACGCGGATTTTACAGTCGGACTTCGGGTACGACGCACACATCAGCGCGTATCCCTGCTCCATGACGTCATCGCTCAGCATGCCTTCGGATTGGTCCACCTCACCCGAGATCAGCTTCGCGGGACACGTCATGCACACGCCGAGCTTGCAGTCGTGAGGGAGATCGAGGCCAGCTTCAATTGCAGCGGACAAGATGGTTTCATCCTCGGGAATCTCGAGGATATGTGTTTTACCCTGATGCTCCACCTCCACCTTATGTGCGTGCACAACGAACCTCCTCCTCCCGCCGTTTGAAGCGCTGAGAGCGTTGGACCGGATCGGCCCGCTGAGGACGCGTGGACAGGCGACGAAGTTGGATTTCAGAACAGTGGAGGAGCAGAGTCCCGCGACCGGAGTGACGGTCATGTGCAGCCGGCACGCAGCCATGGCGAACGACTATGGATTGCTTCACGGAACGAGAATGCGGGGACGGAGACCAATCCACTCAGACCGATTAGCTCCGCCTTGATGTTTCTGCGAGTGGGAGAAAAGAAGCTGAGTGAATTCAACGAAAGTGGAGGCGAAAGCAGACTCTAGCAGTAGGTCATAAGTCAGGACTCGAACGGCATCGCAACATTCTGGGATTGGGTAATCCATGGCAAGGTTCAAGGGGCTCCCAGGGGAGGGCCACGTCATCAGTGGAAAGCCCAGTGGTATAGCCACCGCTGGCAGGAACGCAATCCATTTTTTCGACGTGGCGCACTCGTGCCACCAATGGGAGGCCAAATGATTCCGCAAAAGCGCACCACCAAACCTGAGCTGATATACGCCGCCGCGACACTCCCACAGAACAGACTGATTGTGCCAATTGCATCACAAACCGTCACCTGTAACAGCTCAATCTGTCATCTTCACATGTAGATTGTGCGCATAATTTGATTCTCTGCCAATACTAAAAAGCGTAAAAAAAAGGTGCACCACAGCTGGGGTATACCACTTATAATGCGTTTGTTTACACAATGTACCACCACCCTTACGCAGTAACTCCCTTGGAAGCCAGAAATTCGGCCATCTGTGCCTGTCGCTTCTCGGCCAGTGCAGGGAAGAACTTCTTCCTGCCAGGTACAACCTCAAGTGTGCAACCAGCAGCCTCTAGCTTTTCCCTGGCAGCTTCGCTGAAAGAAGACGCCTTGATGGTAACCTTGGTGGAGATTTCGCCATCTCCCAAGATCTGATGGAAGGGGCACATGAGATAATGACCGTGTAAACACATGAATACAAGGCAGGGAAGAGTGGAAGAGGAGGAAAAAATTCCTCACCCAAATCTCCATTCTGAGATATAGTATTGGATACACACACCCATTCCACCATGGTCCCATCCTTCATACATTAATCCTCCATACTTGGGGCATAACCAGCATCGAACTCCTGAACGTTGGAAAAAAAAAAAGGTCTCGACCTCTGGTATGAGCCTGTGCTTCAATCTCAATCAGGCAGGGTCAAGATTTTATCCCTACTTTTTTTTTTTTTTTTTTTTCCAACAAAACTCCTCGCCCTCCTGCAGCCCCAGCTCTTCCACATCGCCCACAGTCAACATAAGCCAACAGGAGTCCACCCAGGTCAACGCACCTTGAGTGGCTGCCGGCAGTCGCGGCCAGAGGGGTTGAGAATCCCATCCTCAACAAGGCTCTCCAGAGACACCTCCTCGCCCTCCTCCAACCCCATCTCCAAATCCCCCACGTTCAGAAAAAGTCAAACCAAGTCAACGCAGGTCAACGCAAGTCAACACACCTTGAGAGGCAGCCGGCGGTCGCGGCCAGAGGGGTTGAGAATCCCATCCTCAATAAGGCTCTCCAGAGACACCTCCTCGCCCTCCTCCAGCCCCATCTCCTCCAAATCCCCCACGTTCAGCGTCACATACTTGGGCAGTCCCGCGCCCATCCCCCCCGCAATGCCCTTCAGCTTCGGCAGCCGCCGGTACAGCGGCATCTGCCCGCCTTCGAACCCGTGCCTCACGCCCGGCCCGGACCTGGACTTCTGCCCGCGCATGCCGAACCCGCAGCTCGCGCCCTGGCCTGCCGCGTGCCCGCGCCCCTTGCGCTTCTCCTGGCGCCGGGATCCCGGCTGGGGAGCCAGGTTGTTCAGGCGGAACCGCTCTGCGGGTGGTGAAGGAGTAGGGTAAGGGGCGGGGTGGAGGGGAGGGGGAGGGGGGAGGGGGAGGAGGGAGGGACGGGGAAGGGGTGGGTAGATAAAAAGTGGTAATGGGGGTGAGAGGGGAAAGAGCAGGAGGGGCGCTGGAGGGGAAAGAAGGGGGCGGGATGGGTGTGAGCAGGAAAGGATAGTGATGAGAGGATAAGAGAAGCGGAGACCAGAAGGAAAGATGAGAGGATGAGAGAGAATGAGTGGGAGTGAAAGTGAAAGATATCACAAAAAGGACGGGATGGTACGGGCGGCAGTGCGGCACCAAACACAAACTGCGAGTGGCATCAGAAAGTTATTTTCTCTTTCAGTGAGAGCGAGGCTCTCTAAAGAAGTACGAATACAAACAGTAACAAACGCATCACGCGCCACTGGGAGTGCCAGATATAATCACACGACTTTCTACGCAAACAAACCAGGAAATGACGCTGACTTCATCAGAAAGGGAACATAAAAACCACCGACACAAACACTAAATTCGAGTGAAAAATGACCAACGAGAGAAACAGGGGAGCGAGATTACGGGAGGCACATCCGAGCCGGGACGACGAGAGGCGACACAACCGAGACACGAAAGAACCAGGGAAGCGAGACGACGAGAGGAAGATCGGACGGCTCTCAGTGAAATGCGACAGTAAATCGTCATGCTGAAAGTCAGGGCGTTGGGACTATGTTTGACACCCTAGAGCCGGTGACTGGAAAAAGGTACGGACATAAACGCTGGTAATTTTCAAGGGGAAACAAGGATGTTGAACGAGGAAAAAGAGGGGAAGCCTGCTGGCGGTGGAATGAGACGAAAAGGGCGAACGGAACGAGAGAGGAAGGGGATGAGGCGAGAAAGACGAACGCACCACACGGCACGAGCAAAACCGAGGGAGGAGGTACAAGTGCCTGTACGCTTTGTTCAGGACATCAGAATCAAGAGACTCGAGAGAATGGGGAGAATGGAGAGAATTGGGAGAATCGACAAGTCGGAATAACGAGGGGAGCGAGAGACCACAGGAGGTGGATCGGGCGGCTTTCAGTGAAATGCGACAGTAAATCGTCATGCTGAACGTCAGGGCGTTGGGACTATTTTTGACATCATCAAGCCGCCACCTGCCACCACATTCTCGTCTCGACGCCGATATAACATCGCGTAGGACGTGACAGCGAGGCACCAGCTGTTCCACTCAAATCGTTACCACGCCAATGATCTAATCCCTTCAGGCGCCTCTAAACCCTCCTCGACACTATTCTCGACTTTTGAGGCGCCTCAAAAGTCCACTCAGATCGTTACCACGCCAATGATCTAATCCCTTCAGGCGCCTCTAAACCCTCCTCGACACCATTCTCGATGCAGCTAAATAACCCAGATTTCAAGCTACCATCTGAGAACTGAGGAGCGAGTGGGGAATCAGCAGCTCTAGGCAACATTGCTATAGAAGCTTTCAGGAGAAACTGCCATTTGCTGCCATACAGTGTTACCGTACTCTCGAAAACACAACTGCGTCGAACTTTCGACGCTGGCTACCGGCATCCCTCAGACGGGCTGAGTCATCACGGACGGCTCCGTCAACAGCGCCGTCAACGGTTCCGTCAACGAGTCCGTCAACTAAGCTGAACTGACTTTACCCACGTGCCTGCTCTACCGCAACAGAGCTACATAATAGCAGCCGCTGATTTAATGCAGCTGCTCCTTCTACATAATGACCAAGCGGCTTTCATGCTTGCGAAGCTCTTCTTGAAGGCTCTCATTAAGGGACCTCCTACATTATCCGTTTCCCCACATAACCTGCTCTTTCTACCACAGGTCCTCTGCCTATAACAGCCGCTCACCTCACCTTGCGTGGCGGCGTCGGCGGCGGCGGCGGAAGCCTGCGCGCGCACCGCGACGGCGGAGGGAGTCGCCGTGGCAGCAACTCGGCGGGAGGAGGCGAGAGCCGTCCCGCGGAAAGAGACGGAGGCAGACGAAGAGAGGGCCTGGAGGAGACGGAAGACAGACAGATCGAGAATAAGTAACGGCGCAAGACAGAGACTACGAGAGAAAGAGACTTATTTTCTCACGGGGAACTAGCCGTAGCGGAAACAAACGTGTCGATTCTCAACAACACATCTTGCAAACAAACGAGTGGGAAACGAGCCGGCGTGTGCTGGTGCGTCAATATCAAAGCCTCTAAGAAGCTCACATTCTGAGGTCTCGACGCTGCGAGCGAGAGGCTGCTCATCTGCGCTTGCGGAGGCGCTAGGAGCGACGCCATGGCTGGCCCAGAACACAGCTACCTTGAATCGCGGAGAAATAATACAAGAGCACCAAGGAGTAAGGAAAATAGGTTCCTTGAAAACCCTAGCGAGGGGGACGGTGGATGTTGAGAACTTGGAACATGAAGCAGGAGAGAGAGAGCCTCTGCTGGCGAAATCAATAGTGTGATGTCCCTGCTTGCGAGTTGAAGCGAACGATGAACGAAACAAATGAAGTTTAACGACAAACTGCTTGCGACGGAGTTTCTGGAGCTGCTTTCCAACAGAAACTGCCCTGTCACCACCTTGGATGTTGATGTCGCTGTTTGAAGACGTGGCGGCCCAGGCCTTACTGGATGACGCTGACGTGGTGAGAGACGTGAGGTTGGTTTGTCACGAGGTGAAAACGATCGATTCCCAAGGGTTCAGGGGTTTCAGGTTCGGATTCGTTAGGGCAACCTACTCGCGTATCAAAGCCTACGAAATAGGTACAGCCGGAGAGGTTCTGTACAATATCGAAGTCTGCCGAGTTTTGTACAGTAGTGAGTACGAAGGTTCTTCAGCTCATTGTGTCGCATCAGACGACCACGCAAATGATCGTGCTGGATTACTCGAGCCTTCTATAATAATTTTCTTCAGAGATGGTGGATAACTGATCCAGAGCGATCAGTACTGGCCCCAGTTCGGCAGGCATTCTCGCCATTATCGCCATTATGGGCATTTTTAACGGGCCCCCAAAAAATGGCCTCTTGAAACTGATGCGAAAGCAGACTGCAGCTACAGTGAAACCTCGGAAAAATGAGCCCGTGTGTTCGGTTGGCATTAAATGGGCCAATATTAATGGCACCAGCCGAAAACGACACTTCGCAGAAGCCCGTTTGCACCTGCGCTGATGGAGCGCAGAATCGCTGTATGGGCAGCCCGGGCAGCCCTGCAAACCAGCTGGAAACGTCTAAAAAAATGGGTTCAGCCCGTCGATGGGTTCAGCCCGTCGATGCGTTAGTGACGGTGTGTTGGTGATGTGCGATTTTCCAGCGGGCACGAAGACGGATGAGAAAGACCGGGAAACGATTTTTTCAGGGCAAGAAGTAATTGCCCCGAATCAGTGATCCGCCGCATGGTGCGGGACCTCGAGGCCGCATGATACGGCGGATGAGATAATGGCCAGTTTGCCAGAGAAATAAGGTTCGAGGAAGGTTCCTCTGGTGGAAATTGTCAGCGTTAAAAGGGGTGTTCGGCTGGCATTCCATTATTGTCTGGCTCGGTGCTGATCCGCTTATATCGAGCCTAGATAACCTTCCAAGCGCTTATCAAAGAAGGTTCCAGGGTGGTCGGTTTACTATAGTCCATACGGGGAAACCGTTTTTTTAATGCCTGCCGAACTGGGCCCTGATCTGACCATCATGAGATGATGACGCCGGATTCTGCTGGATTACTTCAGCAAGACACATGCAGGAAGAGGGAGGCTCTTACCATGCCACTGTCTGTCTCGCTGTCGCATCAGCGTCAGAAAAGTCACAGCAATTCTCATCCTCTCTCAGACAACGGCCATCTCCTCCTGACCAACGGGCAAGCAGGGCCATGGAAGTGTACAAGGTGAACAACAGGGTCAACGCGGTCAACATGGTCAACAGTCAACGGGTTCAGCAGGTTCAACAAGGACAACCAGGTCAACCAGGTCAACAGGGTCAAGAACAGGTCCAGGAAGCAGCCCAAATTGAACCCATGAGGAAAGATCAATTTCAACCACCTCTAGTTAATAATTCCCACCAAGAACCTGCTCTCATCCCCGGCTCATCCGTCACGTCTCAGGCAGCTGTCAGCGGTTTCAGAACCCGTCACGCATGCCTGCCTGGCCAATCATGGTGCGTGGCGCCTCGACCCCGTGCCGTGCCTGCTTCCTCTGGATGGCGCCATCGGCCAGTCGCTGGGGCGGCTGACAGTGTGACGTTGCATGGACCGCGGATAGGTCCACTACGTCATCTAATGGTGGTGGTTTGAAGAGTGCTGAGAACGTCAGCATCCACGTCAGGTGGTGAACACGTGGCATGGGGAGAAGCTGATAAGGTGGTGCTGCAGGGGCTGCCAACAGGGGATTGGCGGGTGAGGCAAGAGGTGAAGTATCGGTGGTTACCACATAGGAAGTGTGGGCGGTGGGAGGAGGTGGGAAGCGGGGAGATAGTGGGGTTGCGTATGGGAGGAGGATGCTTATAGTGGAAGCCCATTGCGACCGGCTGAAATCGCCTCTTAGGAAGCGGCAAAACCCGATGAAACTACCCTTTCATTGGGGTGTTTTTATTGGTCAGAATGCTGCGGCGAAGCAACTTTTGGAGGGAATTGGAGGGGTATTTCTGGATGTAGACCTGATGACGGTGCTGAGACTTGATGGGCATCTGGAGCCCCCTATGGATTGCCTGCACTACTGCCTGCCTGGACCGCCAGATGAATGGGTGAGACTGCTGTATCAAATGCTGAAGGACCTGGTTTGACGTGGTCTGGTGCTTGATTGGTTCACACGCAACCAGTGACAGAGAAAGAGGCCGACAAAGATCGAGAGGAGGAGCAGCAGAAGATAAGGGTGAGACGAGGTTGAGGGGGGGGGAAGAGTCCAAGAAGGGAAAGGGGATGGTTGCTAGCCAAGGGAAAGTGAGGGGCAGGGAAATGAGAAAGCAAGGAAGGAACGATGCATCGAGGAGCAGCTGTGTGGAGAGCAGGACGATAGAGCTAAGCTAGAGGAACTAAGTACGTAGCAGGTTCAGGAGAAGGGTGAATCTATTGAAAGTATAGAATCTATTGAATGTACCGCAACAGGACATATTTGAAGGCATCAGCAATTATATACCTTGCCTCAAATATGGTACTGTAAGTCAAAGATTTGTTTGTACTAGTTATATCAAGGTTATGACTACTGTAGAGCCCTTGGAGGGCTGTAGTCAAAACCCCATGCACCCTAGGGAACCACGAACCTCGGAATTCGCTCCTCTTCACTTCCTGACATCCAATGTCAGCGTTTCCTCCCTTACCACGTCAGCGTCATCCAGACAAGCTTCGGCCGCCACGTAGTCAAACCCAGAACACCGATACCCAAAATGGTGACACGTACGTACCTGTCGCAGACCAGCAAATCCTCAAGAATGGCGAAGAATTTCGTCCCTGGTTTTCACCCTTCGCGCAAACTTTAGGGTGCTCGTTCACAGTTCGCTTAGTTTCGCAGGGGAAGTTCGTCAGACGCTGGGAATTCATCTTCCCAGCTTGTCGGGCCTCAACTATCCCTGCCCTCCCCACTCCCTAGGGTTTCCGTGTTCCTACTATCCTAACGTACTTCCTTGGTCTTAGAGTAAGAATTTTCCCGTGATTTGAGGTAGCTGGTGGCTGTGATCTCGGCCAGCCATGGCGTCGCTTCTAGCGCCTCCGAAAGCGCAGATGAGCAGCATTTCACTCGCTGCGTCGACGTCTCAGAATGTGAGCTTCTAGATGCTTCCGTAGCAATTATCCCCATACACCATCACACCCTTGTTTCACCCTTGTTTGTTTTGAGAATCTCCTCCTTTAATTCGAGTTTATTGGCTCTAGAAAATAGATTCACCCTTTTAATAGCTTCTCACCGCTTCCTCTCGCTGCATCCCTCTCTCTCGGTCACTCATTATCGCCCTCACTGCCTTCCTTCTCCTTCAGGCGCTCTCTTCGTCCGCCTCCGTCTCTTTCCGCGGGGCAGCCATCTCCGCTCCCCGCCGAATTTCCGCCGCGGGGACTGCATCCGCCGCCGTTGCGGTGCCCGCGCAGGCTTCTGCCGCTTCCTCTGCCGAGGCCATCGACGGCGCCGCTCAAGGTGAGGTGAGCGGCTGTGATAGCATTTAATTCATTGAATTTCCTTGCATGTTTGACCGTTGGATGAAAGCCGCTTAAGATGAGGCGAACGGCTGTGCTAGCACCTGATCCGTTGATTTCTTGCACCCCTTGTTTTCTTTCTTCCACCCCTCTTCCAGCCATTTTCTACCCCTTCCCCCTCGACCTCCCCACCACGACCCTCCCCCCAACATCCCCTCCCTCCAAATTCCCGCAGGGGACGCCAGGGGAGGTGCAGGAGGGGGTGCAGCGGGCACTGGCGGCAGTGAAGCACGCGCCAGCAGGCACGCCGCTGTCGCTGCTGCAGCTGGATCTACCTCTTTTACAGTTCTTTTCTCTTCCCCGCCTTCCCCCCTTTTTTCTCGCCCCAATTCCGCCGCTCCCCTCCCGCCCCTGGCCCTTCTCCCCCGCTTTCACCCCCCGCCCCTCCCCCGACACCTGTTCCGCTCGACGCCCGCAGGGGACGCCAGGGGAGGTGCAGGAGGGGGTGCAGCGGGCACTGGCGGCAGTGAAGCACGCGCCAGCAGGCACGCCGCTGTCGCTGCTGCAGCGACAGCTGGCGTCGGTGCTTACGCCGTTCGCGGATAGACTCGACTCGCGCGCTCTGAGCAGCATCATGAAGCAAGTGAGTGAGTGAGGGGGTGAATAACATGTGAGCTGTGAATGGATTTGGGGGGGGTTCGCCAGCAGGCACGCCGCTGTCGCTGCTGCAGCGGCAGCTGGCGTCCGTGCTCACGCTGTTTGCGGATTGACTCGACTCGCGCGCGCTGAACAGCATCATGAAGCAAGTGAATGAGTCCGATGTGAAGGTCACTTGTTAAGCTGGTCGGTCCGGGATTGCCTTCGGAAGGAACTTGCCAGCAGGCACGCCGCTCTCGCTGCTGCAGCAGCAGCTGGCGTCCGAGCTCACGACGTTTGCGGATTGACTCGACTCGCGCGCTCTGAACAGCATTTTGAAGCAAGTGAGTGAGTGAGTGAGTGAGAGGCATCTCTGTGTATGGTCACTCGCGAGGCTTGGCAGGGATTTCCTTAGGGATTCGCCAGCAGGCACGCCGCTGTCGCTGCTGCAGCAGCATCATGAAGCAAGTGTGTGTGTGTGTGTGTGTGTGAGAGAGAGAGAGAGAGAGAGAGAGAGAGAGAGAGAGAGAGAGAGAGAGAGAGTATGTGTGTTTGTGTGCGTGTGTGTGTGTGTGAGTGTATGTGTGTTTGTGTGCGAGTGTGTGTGTGAGTGTATGTGTGTTTGTGTGCGTGTGTGTGTGTGAGTGTATGTGTGTGTGTGAGTGTATGTGTGTGTGTGATGAGAGGGTCATTCGCAGGCTGGGCTGGCCCCTAGGGACTGGAATTGCCTGAGGGCTGGGTTTCCCTTCGGGAGTCTTTTGAGGCGCCTCAAAAGCTGGCCCCTAGGGACTGGAATTGCCTCAGGACTGAATTTCCCTCAGGGAGTCTCCTCTCCTCTCAGAGTCAGGCTCCATGCCGCAGCAGTAGCAGCTGGCTTGGTGACTTGTGAGTCGACTCAAAAGCCACTTCGCAGGCTGGGCTGGCCCCTAGGGACTGGATTTGCTTCAAGACTGGGTTTCCCTCCGGGAGTCTCCTCTCAGAGTCAGGCTCCGTGCCGCAGCAGTAGCAGCTGGCTTGTTGACTGCATGTTTGTTTGCTCAAGCATGCGTACCGCCTGGTCTTGGATTGGATTGGTTTGGATCGGATTGGATTGGATTGGATCGGATGGGATTGGATTGGATCGGATTGGATTGGATTGGATCGGATTTTCTTTGGGATTCTCCTCTCAGACTCCGTGCTCTAGCTGCAAGAATCTGGGAAGAACGACCTCATGCACCCACCCACCTCCCCTTTCCAGTAGATGTTAAGCCAGCACGAATCTGGGTTGCAGAACAGATTGAGCATCTTTCTCTCTCCTCTTTTCCCTCTCCCCCTCCTCCTCCTCCCCCTTCTTCGATCACGCATCTGCCAGCAAGAGGCGGACTGGCGTGTCGTGCTGGCGCTCTACGATTGGATGGCGGGGCAGGGCATTCCGCGCAGCATCCACGTGTACACGGTGGTGCTCTCGTGCCTGGGCCGGGCCGCGCAGTGGAATCACCTTCAATCCGTTTTGGACGACATGGCGAGACTTGGTGAGAGAGAGGGAGAACCGTGTAGCCTGCGAGCAGCAGGGGGCCGCAGCACCCAGCAGAGAGAACTGTACGCGGTGGTGCTCTCGTCTCGTGCCTGGGCCGGGCCGCGCAGTGGAACCACCTGCAATCTGTTCTGGACGATATGGCGAGACTAGGTGAGAGAGAGAGCTCTGTGTGTGTGTAGCGTGAGAGCAGCAGTGCATGGGAAGGCTGCGCTCTCGTGCCTGGGGCGTGCGGCATAGTGGAACCACCTGCGACCTGTACTGGACAATATGTCGCGACTAGGTACGTAGGGAGGGAGTATCAGGGCGGTTGCGGGAGGGAGGTTGGTGAGAGGGTGACAGAGGTCGTTTTTGAGGCGCCTCTAAAACGACCTCAATGCAGGTCGGTGAGACGGTGACAGAGGCGTAGGCTGGGGCTTGGAGCGGCACAGTGGAGTGGAGCCACCTGCAATCCGTTTTGTACTCGCAGGCCCTCCCGAGAGTGAGTGAAGTGTACTTGCCATCCCCACTTCACTCTGCTTAGCCTGTCCCGTCCCTCCCTGCAGGCGTCCCCATGGACGAGTACGTGTACACCACGGTCATAGTCGCCTCCTCCACTGCCGAACTTAACTGTTCCCCACCTTCCTCCGCCTCTCTCCCTGCTCTCCCTCCTTCCCTGCTCTCTTTCCTCCCCCCTCACCTACCTCCCACAGGGGTGCCCATGGACGAGTACGTGTACACCACGGTCGTAGTCGCCTCCTCCACTGCTGGTTGCAACCTCTCCCCTCTCCCTGCTTTCCCACTCCCACCAATACCACCCTCCCACAGGGGTGCCCATGGACGAGTACGTGTACAACACGCTCATAGTCGCATATTCCAATGCGGGCCGATTCAACGACGCTTTGGGGTGGTTCGAGCGTATGGAGAAGGCCGGGTGCATGCCCAACCAGGTGAGGACGAGCGAAAAAGGCTTCCAGGGGAATGTTTTTTGTACCTCTTCCTGTCCTTACCGTCGCCCCCTCTCCCACGTGGTTCAAGCGCATATAAAAGGCAGGGTGCATGCCCAACCAAGTGAGGACGAGATAAAAAGAAGGTTCCCTGTTTTTTTCTGAAACGTTGCTTCTGTTGCCCCCACACTCCCCTTGCCCCTCTTGTCTTGTTTCCCACCTCCTTTCGCAGTTCTTATCGCTCCTCCTTTCCCCATCCCTCTACCCCATCCCTTTTCCCCATCCCTCTACCCGATCCCTTTTCCCCATCCCTCTACCCGATCCCTTTTCCCCATCCCTCTACCCGATCCCTTGTCCCCATCAATAGTCTGCACCCCTTCTTTCGCACCTCCATTCCTTGTTCTCTTCCCTCTCTCTCTCTCTCTCTCGCTCCCCCTCTTTTCCCGTCTCACCCCCTCTCCCTCCTTCAACCCCTCCTTCAACCCCTCCTTCAACCCCTCCTTCAACCCCTCCTTCAACCCCTCCTTCAACCCCTCCTTCAACCCCTCCTTCAACCCCTCCTTCAACCCCTCCTTCAACCCCTCCTTCAACCCCCTCTCCCTTCCCCCCTCATTCATTTACCAGGTTGTCTACACGACAGTGATGAAGCTGTTTGCGTGGGCGGGCAGGACGGATGGTGTGCCACGCACTCCTGAAAACAGCTTCATCACTGTCGTGTAGGCAACTACACTGAATGTGTGCCTGAAACTAGCAGCCTCCTTTGTTCACTTCCCTCGCTCTGTTCCCCCTCCACTCATTCGTTCACCAGGTTATCTACACAACTGTGATGAAGCTGTTTGCACGGGCGGGAAGGACAGATGGCGTGGCACGCATTGCCGCCCTGCTCAGGGAGGAGAGCAGCAGGGAGGACGGCCTTTTTCGGCTGGATTCTAAAACGATATGCGCGCTGATCGCTGCATACAACAGCATGGGGGATCTGAACTCGGCGCAGGAGGTATGTTTTGGCTGGATTCCCAGGCCAAGACCGCATGCGTGCTGATGGCGTATGGCTGATAGTTGATGGCTGATCGCTGCATACAACAGCATGGGGGATCTGAAGTCGGCGCAGGAGGCATGGCGTTTGAGAGGATCACAGTGGTGTTTTCTCCTCTTGTATGGTTTCCTCTTCCTCTGATCGCTGATCGCTGCGTTCAACAGCATGGGGGATCTGAACTCGGCCCAGGAGGTATGGGAGAAAGGGTTGTTCCCCGGCAAAGACCATATGCTTGCTGATAACTGGTGGTTGATGTTTGCTGGCTGATAGCTGTGTACGACAGCATGGGGGATCTGAACTCGGCCCAGGAGGTATGTTGGGAAGTCAGCTTGATGGCTTATGGCTAATGCGCCTGCAAAATGGTATACATGTCGTGTAAGCCACTTTGTAGGTGCATTACACAAATGCACAGCAACGCGCATGCATGCTACATCGCTGATTGCTGATCGCCGATAGCTTTCACCTTATTATTCACAGGTGGTTGAGGCGGCGCGAGCAGGCATGCCCCCGGGCGAGTGGGACATGGTGGTTTGGAGCGCCATGGTGGCCGCGTATGGGCTGCGGTGCAGTCACCCCCCTCCACCGCACAGAACCCATTTTGAAGTCCTCGTCTGCTGTGTTCCTCTCCCCTCCTCCCTAGGTTTTTGAGGCAGCAGGGGCAGGCACACCCCCAGGCAAGTGGGACGTGGTGGTGTGGAACGCCATGGTGGCCGCGTATGGGCTGCAGTGCAGCAACGGCCCTCCACCGCACAGAACCCATCCACAATCCCACAATCCCCCTCTGCTGCATGCCTGTCCCTCCCTCCTTCCTACAGGTGTTTGAGGCAGCACGAGCAAGCACACCCCCAGGCGAGTGGGATGTGGTGGTATGGAATGCCATGGTGGCCGCGTATGGGCGGGCGGGCAAGGTGAGGCAAGCAGAGGAGCTGCTGCTGCAGATGGAAGCACAGGCGGATGGGGGAAATGGAGCGAATGGGAGGGATGGGGGCGTGGACGCAGAGGGTGATGGGGCTGATAGCGCGGATTGGGGCAGCGTAGAGGCGGATTGGGGGAGTGTTGAGGCAGATGGGGGGAGCAGCATGGGAGAGCAAGGCGCAGCCGTTTCAGTGGGCAGGGCCCAAGAGGGCTCTGGGTCGGATCTTCCGTCGACTCAAGAAGTGGTCAGGGTGCAAGGGGACGTTGAGGCTTCTGTGAAGCAGCATCTTGGCAGAAGATTTGCTGCTTCTGTTGGCAGGGCAACAGAGGCAGAGGATCCGGCTGTGGAGGCGCCTCAAAAGGCGTCTGGAAAGGATATGGGTCGGATGACAGAGAGAGAGGATGTGCTGTTGGAGATGGGTGCGGAGGGGTTTGAAAGGGTGCTGCAAGGGCGAGCGACTGACGGTGCTGACAGTGCTGACAGCCCTGATGGTGCTGGTGTTGCTGTAGAAGCTGCATCAGCAGCAGCTGATGTTGCTGCATCAGCAGCTGTGGCAGCAGGACCTGTAGCAGCAGACACAGCTGTAGTAGCAGAGACATCTGTACCAGACGCCTTAGATGGTTCTTTCTGGACTAACCCTAAGCTACAGGGAACTCAGCCTCACCCATCCCCGCTCCTCCAACCTCCCCTTTCCTACTCCGAACCAGCCTCGATGGGCTCCGAGCCTTTGCCAGAGGTTCGGAGCGAGGGTCGGGGTGAGCTTTGGAGCGAGGCTCGGGAGGAGCTTGTGGCATCGACAGCTGTGGCTGTATCCCCGAGGGCAAGGCTGGAGAGGCAAGGTCTCAGGGAGAATGGCAGTGAGAGTCAATATTCCGGTGGTGACAAAGACAGTTCTGGTGTGGGTAACTGGGATAGTGGCAGTAGTGCGGTAGCTGGTGGTGGTGTTAGTGGTAGTGGTGATGGTGGTGATGGGGGGTTCGTGGCTGCAGGTGTCGATAGTGGTGGAACGGAAAATTCTGGGCGTAGACCCTCGGTTTCACCTCCTTCTCCTCCTCCTCCTCCCCCTCTTGTTGCAACGGTTTTGAGAAAGCCCACACCACTGCCTACCTCTGCTAGCAGTAGCATCAGCAGCCCTACCAGCAGCAAGAACGACAGCAGTAGCAGTAGTACAGTCGATGACCGTATAAGCAGCAGCAGGAGCAGGAGCAGCAGCAGGAGCAGGAGCAGCAGCAGTGGCGGCTGCGGCAGCAGTGGTGGGTTGGAGGCAGCAGAGGAGGGCGGGCTTGTGAGCGGTAGCAGCAGCTCAGGCGAATCTTCAGGTGGATTTTCAGGCGATTTAGCAGCAGGAGGAGCAGGAGGAATCCAGGAGGATGGCAGGGACGAGGAGGAGGAAGGGGAGGAGATCGACAGAGAGGTGGAAAGGAGGGAGATGCAACGGCGGGAGGGAAGGGAGAGGAGAGGAGGAAAGTCGAGCAGGGGATATTCTGGTAGCACTGGCAGGGCTAGTTGGGGGAATGACAGAGAGGAGGCAAGACGAGGGAGGGGGGAAGGTGGTGCGAGGAGAGGAAGGGAAACGATGGGAGAAGGCGGAGGAAGTAGTGGCGGATTTGAAGGAGGGGGTCGGGAGCTGTCCCCCCCTCGGTTTGGGCCGACACTGAATGCGTACAACTCGCTGCTGAATGCGTACGCCAAGGCGGGGGATGTGGACAAGGCAGAGAAGACATTCAAGGTAGGCTTGAGATTACGTTGAGGCAAGGTTGAGGCAAGGGCAATCGCCGCCACTCTCAAGGTAGGCTTGAAACAAGGTTTGCGGAATGGGAGAGGGTGGAGGGAAGCAGCAGAGAGTGGAGAGTGGGGTGCCGAAAGCGTATGTTTTTTGAGAATTCTCAAAAAACACTGTGGAACGCGTTTGCCAAGAGCATGAAGACTTGTTTCGAGACGTCTCATGCTGCGAATGGACGTTCCTCTGGACGTGCCTCTCCACGTGTACTTGTGCTGTTCTTTTGAGTGGCCTGCTCAGCCCACTGTCACCATCAACAACCCCTTGTCCTGCTCATCTTCCCCCACCCACTCTGTATCTGCTTTCCCCACCCAACCCCTCCGCTCACAGCGGCTCATGGCACGGGGATTCTACCCGTCAACAGTCACCTTCAACACACTTTTCTCGCTCTATGCCTCGCTTCCCTCCTCCTCCTCCTCGCTTTCTGCTGCCCGCCGCCTGCACGCCCTCATGCTGCAAATGGACGTCCCTCTCGATGTTTACTCGTGCTGCCCTCTCATTGGCCTGCTCAGCCGCTCCGGGCAGGTTGAAGAAGCGGTCGGGCTGTTTGAAAGAATGAAGGCGCAGGGCGTGCAGGTGCGTGTGTGGGGGTGTGATTTTGTGGGTGTTGGTGAGTGAATGCAAGGGTGTGTGTGGGTGGGTGTGTATGTAACAGTGGGGAGGTGGGTGTGGGTGGGTGTGTATGTGCGTGCATATAGAGGCATGCGTTGGTGCATGCGTCTGTGTGTTCCCGTCCGTGTCCCTTCCCTGTACACTCAACCCCACCGCAAGCTGAAGTTCCACGTATGATGAGACGAAGTAGTAAGTTGTTTGAGTCCTCTACCTGTTCGATCTAAACCCACGGCAGATTCCGAGGCGCAACCAGCCAGCCAAAGCTCCGTCTTTGATCCCTTTCCCCACCCATCTCCTCCTCTCCCGCCCTTCTCTTGACACACCCCCTCCGTCCCCTCCGCCACTATTAGCTGGACTCACACGTCTACAACAGTGCTATGATCGCCGTGGTCGCCCGGCACGGCAAGCTGGGGTTTCAAAGTGTTTCATTTTAGAATTCCCAAAAGTAACACCAATATAGTTTTCAGCGCAATGATTGCCGTGTTCGGCCGTCATGGCAAGTTGCAGTTTCAAAGTGCAACCAACCGAAGCCTTATCTAACCCTCCCTTTCTCCCAACGACCCCCACCAGCCGGACTTGCACGTCTTCAGTGCAATGATCGTTTTTGAGGCACCTCAAAAACGATCCCAACGACCCCCACCAGCCGGACTTGCACGTCTTCAGTGCAATGATCGCCATGTTTGCCAGCCACGGCAAGTTTAAGGCTCCTTAGCCCAACCAACCATCCTCTCCCCTCTCCCCCTCCTCTCCCCCCCCCCCCCCCCCCACCAGCCGGACTCGCACGTGTTCAGTGCAATGATCGCAATGTTTGCCCGCCACGGCAAGCTCATGTTCCAAGACACAACCAACCAAGCCTCCCTTTTTCCCCTTCCCTCTCTCCCCCTTCTCCTTCCTCCCCCCCCCCCCCCCCCACCAGCCGGACTCGCACGTGTTCTGCGCAATGATCGCCATGTTCGCCCGCCACAGCAAGTTTGAGGCTCCTTAGCCCAACCAACCATCCTCTCCCCTCTCCCCCTCCTCCCCCCCCCACCAGCCGGACTCGCATGTCTTCAGTGCAATGATCGCCATGTTCGCCCGCCACGGCAAGCTGGAAATCCAAGGTGCAACCAGCCAAAGTCCCCCCCTCTTCCCGCCCTTCCCCCTCCTCCCCCCCGCCCCACCAGCCGGACTCGCATGTGTTCAGTGCAATGATCGCCATGTTCGCCCGCCACGGCAAGTTAGAAGCTGCGCTGAGAACCTTCCAGGAGATGAAGGCGGCGGGGTGCGCAGTGGACATGCCCGTGCTGACGTCCATGATCGGCGTGTACCACCGTTTAGGGCTATTGGAAGAGGCGTCAGCAGCTGCAATGGATGCGATTGTGAGTGTTTTCGGTGGGAATAAAGGCTTCTTTGGGTACAGAGAAGACACTATTGAGAATTCTCAAAAGTGCTTCTTTGGGTACAGAGAAGACACTATTGAGAATTCTCAAAAGTGCTTCTTTGGGTACAGAGAAGACATGAAATGCAGGTTTGCAGTGCATATGCCAGTGCTGACGTCCATGATCGGCGCGTACCACCAACTGGGGCTTCTAGAGGAGGCGTCTGCAGCAGCAATGGATGCGATTGTGAGTGGTTCTGAGTGGTGCCTCCTGTGCCTTGGAGTGCTGAACCTTGAGGTGTTGAGCCTGTGCCTGCCTAGCGGTGCGCAGTGCACATGCCAGTGTTGACGTCCATGATCGGCGTCTACCACCGCTTGGGGCTGCTGGAAGAGGCGTCTGCCGCAGCAATGGACGCCATTGTGAGTGGCTCTGAGTGATGCCTTGGTTTGGAGTGCCAAACCTTGAGGTGCTGAGCTTGTGCCTGCCTCGGGGTACGCAGTGGACATGCCAGTGCTGACTGGGAAGTGCATGATCGGCATGCAAGATTCGCCTGAGCTGCCGGGGCTGACCGTGACATCCCTTGTGAGAATTCTCAACCGTGACATCCCATGATGGCCACGCACCACCTCCACCTTCCCTGCCCTCCCTTCCATCCCACCCCAGACTCTGGGCAGCGGCCATCTAGTAGACCCTGTGCTTGCCAGCGCCATCATCTCCCTCTTCTCATCCGCATCTCTTCCTCTTACTTCCCATCATCTCCCTCTTCTCATCCGCATCTCTTCCTCTTACTTCCCATCATCTCCCTCTTCTCATCCGCATCTCTTCCTCTTACTTCCCATCATCTCTGTGTAATCCTCTTCGCTCTCTCTCCGATCCCTCCCCGCAGACCCAGGGCAGCGGCCACCTAGACTCTGTGATTGCCAGCGCCAACATTTTTTGAAATCCTCTTCGTTCTCTCTCCCCCCTGCCCCCACCAGACTCAGGGCAGCGGGCATTTAGACCCTGTAATTGCCAGCGCCATCATATCTCTCTTCTCATTGTCTGTCTCCCTTTCATTCCCCACTTCCCCATTCTCCTCCGTATGTGTCTCCTCCGTATGTGTCTCCTCCGTATGTGTCTCCTCCGTATGTGTCTCCTCCGTATGTGTCTCCTCCGTATGTGTCTCCTCCGTATGTGTCTCCTCCGTATGTGTCTCCTCCGTATGTGTCTCCTCCGTATGTGTCTCCTCCGTATGTGTCTCCTCCGTATGTGTCTCCTCCGTATGTGTCTCCTCCGTATGTGTCTCCTCCGTATGTGTCTCCTCCGTATGTGTCTCCTCCGTATGTGTCTCCTCCGTATGTGTCTCCTCCGTATGTGTCTCCTCCGTATGTGTCTCCTCCGTATGTGTCTCCTCCGTATGTGTCTCCTCCGTATGTGTCTCCTCCGTATGTGTCTCCTCCGTATGTGTCTCCTCCGTATGTGTCTCCTCCGTATGTGTCTCCTCCGTATGTGTCTCCTCCGTATGTGTCTCCTCCGTATGTGTCTCCTCCGTATGTGTCTCCTCCGTATGTGTCTCCTCCGTATGTGTCTCCTCCGTATGTGTCTCCTCCGTATGTGTCTCCTCCGTATGTGTCTCCTCCGTATGTGTCTCCTCCGTATGTGTCTCCTCCGTATGTGTCTCCTCCGTATGTGTCTCCTCCGTATGTGTCTCCTCCGTATGTGTCTCCTCCGTATGTGTCTCCTCCGTATGTGTCTCCTCCGTATGTGTCTCCTCCGCATGTGTCTCCTCCGCATGCGTCTCCTCCGTATGCGTCTCCTCCGTATGCGTCTCCTCCGCATGCGTCTCCTCCGCATGCCTCTCCTCCGCATGCGTCTCCTCCGCATGCGTCTCCTCCGTATGCGTCTCCTCCGTATGCGTCTCCTCCGTATGCGTCTCCTCCGTATGCGTCTCCTCCGTATGCGTCTCCTCCGTATGCGTCTCCTCCGTATGTCTCTCCTCCGTATGCGTCTCCTCCGTATGTCTCTCCTCCGTATGTCTCTCCTCCGTATGTCTCTCCTCCGTATGTCTCTCCTCCGTATGTCTCTCCTCCGTATGTCTCTCCTCCGTATGTCTCTCCTCCGTATGTCTCTCCTCCGTATGTCTCTCCTCCGTATGTCTCTCCTCCGTATGTCTCTCCTCCGTATGTCTCTCCTCCGTATGTCTCTCCTCCGTATGTCTCTCCTCCGTATGTCTCTCCTCCGTATGTCTCTCCTCCGTATGTCTCTCCTCCGTATGTCTCTCCTCCGTATGTCTCTCCTCCGTATGTCTCTCCTCCGTATGTCTCTCCTCCGTATGTCTCTCCTCCGTATGTCTCTCCTCCGTATGTCTCTCCTCCGTATGTCTCTCCTCCGTATGTCTCTCCTCCGTATGTCTCTCCTCCGTATGTCTCTCCTCCGTATGTCTCTCCTCCGTATGTCTCTCCTCCGTATGTCTCTCCTCCGTATGTCTCTCCTCCGTATGTCTCTCCTCCGTATGTCTCTCCTCCGTATGTCTCTCCTCCGTATGTCTCTCCTCCGTATGTCTCTCCTCCGTATGTCTCTCCTCCGTATGTCTCTCCTCCGTATGTCTCTCCTCCGTATGTCTCTCCTCCGTATGTCTCTCCTCCGTATGTCTCTCCTCCGTATGTCTCTCCTCCGTATGTCTCTCCTCCGTATGTCTCTCCTCCGTATGTCTCTCCTCCGTATGTCTCTCCTCCGTATGTCTCTCCTCCGTATGTCTCTCCTCCGTATGTCTCTCCTCCGTATGTCTCTCCTCCGTATGTCTCTCCTCCGTATGTCTCTCCTCCGTATGTCTCTCCTCCGTATGTCTCTCCTCCGTATGTCTCTCCTCCGTATGTCTCTCCTCCGTATGTCTCTCCTCCGTATGTCTCTCCTCCGTATGTCTCTCCTCCGTATGTCTCTCCTCCGTATGTCTCTCCTCCGTATGTCTCTCCTCCGTATGTCTCTCCTCCGTATGTCTCTCCTCCGTATGTCTCTCCTCCGTATGTCTCTCCTCCGTATGTCTCTCCTCCGTATGTCTCTCCTCCGTATGTCTCTCCTCCGTATGTCTCTCCTCCGTATGTCTCTCCTCCGTATGTCTCTCCTCCGTATGTCTCTCCTCCGTATGTCTCTCCTCCGTATGTCTCTCCTCCGTATGTCTCTCCTCCGTATGTCTCTCCTCCGTATGTCTCTCCTCCGTATGTCTCTCCTCCGTATGTCTCTCCTCCGTATGTCTCTCCTCCGTATGTCTCTCCTCCGTATGTCTCTCCTCCGCATGTCTCTCCTCCGCATGTGTCTCCTCCGTATGTCTCTCCTCCGTATGTCTCTCCTCCGTATGTCTCTCCTCCGCATGTCTCTCCTCCGCATGTGTCTCCTCCGTATGTCTCTCCTCCGTATGTCTCTCCTCCGTATGTCTCTCCTCCGTATGTCTCTCCTCCGTATGTCTCTCCTCCGTATGTCTCTCCTCCGTATGTCTCTCCTCCGTATGTCTCTCCTCCGTATGTCTCTCCTCCGTATGTCTCTCCTCCGTATGTCTCTCCTCCGTATGTCTCTCCTCCGTATGTCTCTCCTCCGTATGTCTCTCCTCCGTATGTCTCTCCTCCGTATGTCTCTCCTCCGTATGTCTCTCCTCCGTATGTCTCTCCTCCGTATGTCTCTCCTCCGTATGTCTCTCCTCCGTATGTCTCTCCTCCGTATGTCTCTCCTCCGTATGTCTCTCCTCCGTATGTCTCTCCTCCGTATGTCTCTCCTCCGTATGTCTCTCCTCCGTATGTCTCTCCTCCGTATGTCTCTCCTCCGTATGTCTCTCCTCCGTATGTCTCTCCTCCGTATGTCTCTCCTCCGTATGTCTCTCCTCCGTATGTCTCTCCTCCGTATGTCTCTCCTCCGTATGTCTCTCCTCCGTATGTCTCTCCTCCGTATGTCTCTCCTCCGTATGTCTCTCCTCCGTATGTCTCTCCTCCGTATGTCTCTCCTCCGTATGTCTCTCCTCCGTATGTCTCTCCTCCGTATGTCTCTCCTCCGTATGTCTCTCCTCCGTATGTCTCTCCTCCGTATGTCTCTCCTCCGTATGTCTCTCCTCCGTATGTCTCTCCTCCGTATGTCTCTCCTCCGTATGTCTCTCCTCCGTATGTCTCTCCTCCGTATGTCTCTCCTCCGTATGTCTCTCCTCCGTATGTCTCTCCTCCGTATGTCTCTCCTCCGTATGTCTCTCCTCCGTATGTCTCTCCTCCGTATGTCTCTCCTCCGTATGTCTCTCCTCCGTATGTCTCTCCTCCGTATGTCTCTCCTCCGTATGTCTCTCCTCCGTACGTGTCTCCTCCGTACGTGTCTCCTCCGTATGTCTCTCCTCCGTATGTCTCTCCTCCGTATGTCTCTCCTCCGTATGTCTCTCCTCCGTATGTCTCTCCTCCGTATGTCTCTCCTCCGTATGTCTCTCCTCCGTATGTCTCTCCTCCGTATGTCTCTCCTCCGTATGTCTCTCCTCCGTATGTCTCTCCTCCGTATGTCTCTCCTCCGTATGTCTCTCCTCCGTATGTCTCTCCTCCGTATGTCTCTCCTCCGTATGTCTCTCCTCCGTATGTCTCTCCTCCGTATGTCTCTCCTCCGTATGTCTCTCCTCCGTATGTCTCTCCTCCGTATGTCTCTCCTCCGTATGTCTCTCCTCCGTATGTCTCTCCTCCGTATGTCTCTCCTCCGTATGTCTCTCCTCCGTATGTCTCTCCTCCGTATGTCTCTCCTCCGTATGTCTCTCCTCCGTATGTCTCTCCTCCGTATGTCTCTCCTCCGTATGTCTCTCCTCCGTATGTCTCTCCTCCGTATGTCTCTCCTCCGTACGTGTCTCCTCCGTACGTGTCTCCTCCGTACGTGTCTCCTCCGTATGTCTCTCCTCCGTATGTCTCTCCTCCGTATGTCTCTCCTCCGTATGTCTCTCCTCCGTATGTCTCTCCTCCGTATGTCTCTCCTCCGTATGTCTCTCCTCCGTATGTCTCTCCTCCGTATGTCTCTCCTCCGTATGTCTCTCCTCCGTATGTCTCTCCTCCGTATGTCTCTCCTCCGTATGTCTCTCCTCCGTATGTCTCTCCTCCGTATGTCTCTCCTCCGTATGTCTCTCCTCCGTATGTCTCTCCTCCGTATGTCTCTCCTCCGTATGTCTCTCCTCCGTATGTCTCTCCTCCGTATGTCTCTCCTCCGTATGTCTCTCCTCCGTATGTCTCTCCTCCGTATGTCTCTCCTCCGTATGTCTCTCCTCCGTATGTCTCTCCTCCGTATGTCTCTCCTCCGTATGTCTCTCCTCCGTATGTCTCTCCTCCGTATGTCTCTCCTCCGTATGTCTCTCCTCCGTATGTCTCTCCTCCGTATGTCTCTCCTCCGTATGTCTCTCCTCCGTATGTCTCTCCTCCGTATGTCTCTCCTCCGTATGTCTCTCCTCCGTATGTCTCTCCTCCGTATGTCTCTCCTCCGTATGTCTCTCCTCCGTATGTCTCTCCTCCGTATGTCTCTCCTCCGTATGTCTCTCCTCCGTATGTCTCTCCTCCGTATGTCTCTCCTCCGTATGTCTCTCCTCCGTATGTCTCTCCTCCGTATGTCTCTCCTCCGTATGTCTCTCCTCCGTATGTCTCTCCTCCGTATGTCTCTCCTCCGTATGTCTCTCCTCCGTATGTCTCTCCTCCGTATGTCTCTCCTCCGTATGTCTCTCCTCCGTATGTCTCTCCTCCGTATGTCTCTCCTCCGTATGTCTCTCCTCCGTATGTCTCTCCTCCGTATGTCTCTCCTCCGTATGTCTCTCCTCCGTATGTCTCTCCTCCGTATGTCTCTCCTCCGTATGTCTCTCCTCCGTATGTCTCTCCTCCGTATGTCTCTCCTCCGTATGTCTCTCCTCCGTATGTCTCTCCTCCGTATGTCTCTCCTCCGTATGTCTCTCCTCCGTATGTCTCTCCTCCGTATGTCTCTCCTCCGTATGTCTCTCCTCCGTATGTCTCTCCTCCGTATGTCTCTCCTCCGTATGTCTCTCCTCCGTATGTCTCTCCTCCGTATGTCTCTCCTCCGTATGTCTCTCCTCCGTATGTCTCTCCTCCGTATGTCTCTCCTCCGTATGTCTCTCCTCCGTATGTCTCTCCTCCGTATGTCTCTCCTCCGTATGTCTCTCCTCCGTATGTCTCTCCTCCGTATGTCTCTCCTCCGTATGTCTCTCCTCCGTATGTCTCTCCTCCGTATGTCTCTCCTCCGTATGTCTCTCCTCCGTATGTCTCTCCTCCGTATGTCTCTCCTCCGTATGTCTCTCCTCCGTATGTCTCTCCTCCGTATGTCTCTCCTCCGTATGTCTCTCCTCCGTATGTCTCTCCTCCGTATGTCTCTCCTCCGTATGTCTCTCCTCCGTATGTCTCTCCTCCGTATGTCTCTCCTCCGTATGTCTCTCCTCCGTATGTCTCTCCTCCGTATGTCTCTCCTCCGTATGTCTCTCCTCCGTATGTCTCTCCTCCGTATGTCTCTCCTCCGTATGTCTCTCCTCCGTATGTCTCTCCTCCGTATGTCTCTCCTCCGTATGTCTCTCCTCCGTATGTCTCTCCTCCGTATGTCTCTCCTCCGTATGTCTCTCCTCCGTATGTCTCTCCTCCGTATGTCTCTCCTCCGTATGTCTCTCCTCCGTATGTCTCTCCTCCGTATGTCTCTCCTCCGTATGTCTCTCCTCCGTATGTCTCTCCTCCGTATGTCTCTCCTCCGTATGTCTCTCCTCCGTATGTCTCTCCTCCGTATGTCTCTCCTCCGTATGTCTCTCCTCCGTATGTCTCTCCTCCGTATGTCTCTCCTCCGTATGTCTCTCCTCCGTATGTCTCTCCTCCGTATGTCTCTCCTCCGTATGTCTCTCCTCCGTATGTCTCTCCTCCGTATGTCTCTCCTCCGTATGTCTCTCCTCCGTATGTCTCTCCTCCGTATGTCTCTCCTCCGTATGTCTCTCCTCCGTATGTCTCTCCTCCGTATGTCTCTCCTCCGTATGTCTCTCCTCCGTATGTCTCTCCTCCGTATGTCTCTCCTCCGTATGTCTCTCCTCCGTATGTCTCTCCTCCGTATGTCTCTCCTCCGTATGTCTCTCCTCCGTATGTCTCTCCTCCGTATGTCTCTCCTCCGTATGTCTCTCCTCCGTATGTCTCTCCTCCGTATGTCTCTCCTCCGTATGTCTCTCCTCCGTATGTCTCTCCTCCGTATGTCTCTCCTCCGCATGTGTCTCCTCCGCATGTGTCTCCTCCGCATGTGTCTCCTCCGCATGTGTCTCCTCCGTATGTCTCTCCTCCGTATGTCTCTCCTCCGTATGTCTCTCCTCCGTATGTCTCTCCTCCGTATGTCTCTCCTCCGTATGTCTCTCCTCCGTATGTCTCTCCTCCGTATGTCTCTCCTCCGTATGTCTCTCCTCCGTATGTCTCTCCTCCGTATGTCTCTCCTCCGTATGTCTCTCCTCCGTATGTCTCTCCTCCGTATGTCTCTCCTCCGTATGTCTCTCCTCCGTATGTCTCTCCTCCGTATGTCTCTCCTCCGTATGTCTCTCCTCCGTATGTCTCTCCTCCGTATGTCTCTCCTCCGTATGTCTCTCCTCCGTATGTCTCTCCTCCGTATGTCTCTCCTCCGTATGTCTCTCCTCCGTATGTCTCTCCTCCGTATGTCTCTCCTCCGTATGTCTCTCCTCCGTATGTCTCTCCTCCGTATGTCTCTCCTCCGTATGTCTCTCCTCCGTATGTCTCTCCTCCGTATGTCTCTCCTCCGTATGTCTCTCCTCCGTATGTCTCTCCTCCGTATGTCTCTCCTCCGTATGTCTCTCCTCCGTATGTCTCTCCTCCGTATGTCTCTCCTCCGTATGTCTCTCCTCCGTATGTCTCTCCTCCGTATGTCTCTCCTCCGTATGTCTCTCCTCCGTATGTCTCTCCTCCGTATGTCTCTCCTCCGTATGTCTCTCCTCCGTATGTCTCTCCTCCGTATGTCTCTCCTCCGTATGTCTCTCCTCCGTATGTCTCTCCTCCGTATGTCTCTCCTCCGTATGTCTCTCCTCCGTATGTCTCTCCTCCGTATGTCTCTCCTCCGTATGTCTCTCCTCCGTATGTCTCTCCTCCGTATGTCTCTCCTCCGTATGTCTCTCCTCCGTATGTCTCTCCTCCGTATGTCTCTCCTCCGTATGTCTCTCCTCCGTATGTCTCTCCTCCGTATGTCTCTCCTCCGTATGTCTCTCCTCCGTATGTCTCTCCTCCGTATGTCTCTCCTCCGTATGTCTCTCCTCCGCATGTCTCTCCTCCGCATGTCTCTCCTCCGCATGTCTCTCCTCCGCATGTCTCTCCTCCGCATGTCTCTCCTCCGCATGTCTCTCCTCCGCATGTCTCTCCTCCGCTTGTCTCTCCTCCGTATGTCTCTCCTCCGTATGTCTCTCCTCCGTATGTCTCTCCTCCGTATGTCTCTCCTCCGTATGTCTCTCCTCCGTATGTCTCTCCTCCGTATGTCTCTCCTCCGTATGTCTCTCCTCCGTATGTCTCTCCTCCGTATGTCTCTCCTCCGTATGTCTCTCCTCCGTATGTCTCTCCTCCGTATGTCTCTCCTCCGTATGTCTCTCCTCCGTATGTCTCTCCTCCGTATGTCTCTCCTCCGTATGTCTCTCCTCCGTATGTCTCTCCTCCGTATGTCTCTCCTCCGTATGTCTCTCCTCCGTATGTCTCTCCTCCGTATGTCTCTCCTCCGTATGTCTCTCCTCCGTATGTCTCTCCTCCGTATGTCTCTCCTCCGTATGTCTCTCCTCCGTATGTCTCTCCTCCGTATGTCTCTCCTCCGTATGTCTCTCCTCCGTATGTCTCTCCTCCGTATGTCTCTCCTCCGTATGTCTCTCCTCCGTATGTCTCTCCTCCGTATGTCTCTCCTCCGTATGTCTCTCCTCCGTATGTCTCTCCTCCGTATGTCTCTCCTCCGTATGTCTCTCCTCCGTATGTCTCTCCTCCGTATGTCTCTCCTCCGTATGTCTCTCCTCCGTATGTCTCTCCTCCGTATGTCTCTCCTCCGTATGTCTCTCCTCCGTATGTCTCTCCTCCGTATGTCTCTCCTCCGTATGTCTCTCCTCCGCATGTGTCTCCTCCGCATGTGTCTCCTCCGTATGTCTCTCCTCCGTATGTCTCTCCTCCGTATGTCTCTCCTCCGCATGTCTCTCCTCCGCATGTGTCTCCTCCGTATGTCTCTCCTCCGTATGTCTCTCCTCCGTATGTCTCTCCTCCGTATGTCTCTCCTCCGTATGTCTCTCCTCCGTATGTCTCTCCTCCGTATGTCTCTCCTCCGTATGTCTCTCCTCCGTATGTCTCTCCTCCGCATGTCTCTCCTCCGCATGTCTCTCCTCCGCATGTCTCTCCTCCGCATGTCTCTCCTCCGCATGTCTCTCCTCCGCATGTCTCTCCTCCGCTTGTCTCTCCTCCGTATGTCTCTCCTCCGTATGTCTCTCCTCCGTATGTCTCTCCTCCGTATGTCTCTCCTCCGTATGTCTCTCCTCCGTATGTCTCTCCTCCGTATGTCTCTCCTCCGTATGTCTCTCCTCCGTATGTCTCTCCTCCGTATGTCTCTCCTCCGTATGTCTCTCCTCCGTATGTCTCTCCTCCGTATGTCTCTCCTCCGTATGTCTCTCCTCCGTATGTCTCTCCTCCGTATGTCTCTCCTCCGTATGTCTCTCCTCCGTATGTCTCTCCTCCGTATGTCTCTCCTCCGTATGTCTCTCCTCCGTATGTCTCTCCTCCGTATGTCTCTCCTCCGTATGTCTCTCCTCCGTATGTCTCTCCTCCGTATGTCTCTCCTCCGTATGTCTCTCCTCCGTATGTCTCTCCTCCGTATGTCTCTCCTCCGTATGTCTCTCCTCCGTATGTCTCTCCTCCGTATGTCTCTCCTCCGTATGTCTCTCCTCCGTATGTCTCTCCTCCGTATGTCTCTCCTCCGTATGTCTCTCCTCCGCATGTGTCTCCTCCGCATGTGTCTCCTCCGTATGTCTCTCCTCCGTATGTCTCTCCTCCGTATGTCTCTCCTCCGCATGTCTCTCCTCCGCATGTGTCTCCTCCGTATGTCTCTCCTCCGTATGTCTCTCCTCCGTATGTCTCTCCTCCGTATGTCTCTCCTCCGTATGTCTCTCCTCCGTATGTCTCTCCTCCGTATGTCTCTCCTCCGCATGTCTCTCCTCCGCATGTCTCTCCTCCGTATGTCTCTTCTCCGCATGTCTCTCCTCCGCATGTCTCTCCTCCGCATGTCTCTCCTCCGCATGTCTCTCCTCCGCATGTCTCTCCTCCGCATGTCTCTCCTCCGCTTGTCTCTCCTCCGTATGTCTCTCCTCCGTATGTCTCTCCTCCGTATGTCTCTCCTCCGTATGTCTCTCCTCCGTATGTCTCTCCTCCGTATGTCTCTCCTCCGTATGTCTCTCCTCCGTATGTCTCTCCTCCGTATGTCTCTCCTCCGTATGTCTCTCCTCCGTATGTCTCTCCTCCGTATGTCTCTCCTCCGTATGTCTCTCCTCCGTATGTCTCTCCTCCGTATGTCTCTCCTCCGTATGTCTCTCCTCCGTATGTCTCTCCTCCGTATGTCTCTCCTCCGTATGTCTCTCCTCCGTATGTCTCTCCTCCGTATGTCTCTCCTCCGTATGTCTCTCCTCCGTATGTCTCTCCTCCGTATGTCTCTCCTCCGTATGTCTCTCCTCCGTATGTCTCTCCTCCGTATGTCTCTCCTCCGTATGTCTCTCCTCCGTATGTCTCTCCTCCGTATGTCTCTCCTCCGTATGTCTCTCCTCCGTATGTCTCTCCTCCGTATGTCTCTCCTCCGTATGTCTCTCCTCCGTATGTCTCTCCTCCGTATGTCTCTCCTCCGTATGTCTCTCCTCCGTATGTCTCTCCTCCGTATGTCTCTCCTCCGTATGTCTCTCCTCCGTATGTCTCTCCTCCGTATGTCTCTCCTCCGTATGTCTCTCCTCCGTATGTCTCTCCTCCGTATGTCTCTCCTCCGTATGTCTCTCCTCCGTATGTCTCTCCTCCGTATGTCTCTCCTCCGTATGTCTCTCCTCCGTATGTCTCTCCTCCGTATGTCTCTCCTCCGTATGTCTCTCCTCCGTATGTCTCTCCTCCGTATGTCTCTCCTCCGTATGTCTCTCCTCCGTATGTCTCTCCTCCGTATGTCTCTCCTCCGTATGTCTCTCCTCCGTATGTCTCTCCTCCGTATGTCTCTCCTCCGTATGTCTCTCCTCCGTATGTCTCTCTTCCGTATGTCTCTCCCTCTTTCTTCCTAACCGTCTCCCCTCCCAGATTCAGGGCAGCGGGCATTTAGACCCTGTGATCGCCAGCGCCATCATCTCCCTCTTCCCATCGCTTCAGTTGTTTCTCTCTCTTCTCAAAACCCTAGGCCCCCCATTTCCTTCTCCCACTCACACACGCCGCCCCTTTCCCCCCCTCCAGACTCAGGGCAGTGAGCATCTAGACCCTGTGATCGCCAGTGCCATCATCTCCCTCTTCTCCAAACAAGGCCGGCTTAGAGATGCCGTTAGAATCTTCCCTCACAACCCCCCATCCCTTCTCTTTCCCCACTACCCATCCCTACTCAGACTCAGGGCAGCGGGCATTTAGACCCTGTAATTGCCAGCGCCATCATCTCCCTCTTCTCTAAGCAAGGCCGGCTTGGGGACGCTGTGAGAATCTTTCGCGCTGCCCGGGGCATGGGCAGCCGGCAGATCCAGCCGGGCAGCATCGGCGAAAATAGTGTGAGCAGTTGGAGTAGGAACAACAGCGTCTGGAGCAGAAGCGGTAGCAGCAGTGGCAGTAGCAGCGACAGCGACAGTAGCAGCAGCGGCACTGTTGAGAAAACAAGTCTTCTTATACCAGAAGTAGAGTCAGAAGAAGCAACAGGAGCAGAGGCCGGAGCTACAGCAGCATCAGAAGCAGAAAGAGCAGGAGCAGCACGGGCAGCAGTGGCGGCAGCAGCAGGGGAAGGGACAGGAGCAGCAGGGGAAGGGACAGGAGCAGCAGGGGAAGGGACAGGAGCAGCAGGGGAAGGGACAGGAGCAGCACCCTCAGCCGCAGCAGATTCAGCAGCAGGAGCAGCAGCAGGGTCGAGTCCGCCCAAGAGGCGGCACAGGGGGAGGGGGAGGGGCAGGAGGCGAGGGGGGCGAGTAGATGCTGTGCTGCTGAGCACGATGATGGACGCTTACAGCAAGGCGGGGCAGCTGGACGCGGCTGAGGCGCTGTTTGCTGAGATCCTGGTGGGTACGGTACGGTACAATATGGTATGGGTGGGTGAGGTGTGAGTGGGTATGGTGAAGCATCTTGTTTCTCAGTGGGGATGCGGTGCTGCTAAGCACGATGATGGACGCTTACAGCAAGGCAGGGCAACTAGATGCTGAGGCCCTGTTTGCTGAGATCCTGGTGAGTGGGTGGAATTTGTTGGATGAGTGGGTGAAATTGTTGGGTGAGTGGGTGGAAATTGTTGGGTGAGTGGGTGGAAATTGTTGGGTGAGTATGGTATGGTGGAGGTGGGTATGTGGTTGTGTGCGTGTGTGCGTGCATGCGCGCGCATGTCTGTGTGTGCCGGCCTGTGTGTGGATGAGTGGGTGGAAGTGGCCGAGCACTTGGTACATTCTGCAAGGCGTGTTTCGGCGGCATGTATGTGAATCACAGCGGGTTGTTGTGACCCAAAACCCTACTTTCCCCTCCACTCTCCTCCATTTCCCCCTTCGTCCTTTCCCACCCACCCGTGTATCACCCCCCGTTTCAGGCAGATGGGTCAGGCAGATGGGTCAGGCAGATGGGTCAGGCAGATGGGTCAGGCAGATGGGTCAGGCAGATGGGTCAGGCAGATGGGTCAGGCAGATGGGTCAGGCAGATGGGTCAGGCAGATGGGTCAGGTAGAATAGCGGACCTGGCAGCACACACCACCATGATCAGCGTGTATGGGAAGCCCACTCAGTTACGATGTATAACCCATCTCTAATCCTCCACCCTCTTCCCCCTTCCCCTTCCGGCCTGTCCCCTCCACCACCCACCCTTCTCTAACACACACGCGCCCCTTCAGGCGGATGAGTCGGGCAGTATAGCGGACTTGGCAGCTCACACCACGATGATCAGCGTGTATGGGAAGCATGGGCTGGTGGATAAGGCAAAGGTGAGCGGGACGGGCGAGAGGGGAGATGCGGGATGTATCGGCAGTGATTGTTGTGATGAGAGCGAGCGATAAGCTCACACCATGATGATCAGCGTGTATCGGAAGGAAGCATGGGCTGCTGGTGGATACGGCAAAGGTGTGTGAGGGAGGAGGTGTGAGAAAGAAGAATTGTTGCACTGAATAATGAGCCAAAAGGCTCTTTAGTACAAGCAATGAGCAAGAGAGAGATAAGAGGGAAGCTTACCCTATTGGCCAATAAGTTGGCCAATGGGTGAGTTTGCTTGTGGCCCAAGCAACCACAAAATGTGTGTTGGTTGGGATTGGTTAAGGTAAGGACCAATCCCCACCAACCACAAAATGTGGTTGGAGGGTACACTAACCAACCCCCCAATTTATAAGACTGCTGCACATCTAAGTCTAGCCTATGCATGTTGTATAAAATATGGAATTACAACACAACCCCCCAACATGCATAAGGCGAGAAGGTTATAATCAAGAAGTGGAGACCAACTTTGGAGGAGTAAGGCCAAGGAGACGAATCAGTGAAGAGTGAGCCGCATGCGGAAGAGCTTTCGTGAAGATGTCGGCAAGGTTGGCTGCGGAGTCAACCTTATCGAGCCGAAGGTGCCCAGCCTGAACAAGATCGCGAATGAAGAAATGACGGAGCTCAATGTGCTTGGAGCGCCCGTGAAACACAGCATCCTTCGTGAGGTGAATGGTGCTGGCGTTGTCACACCAAATGGTGGGACAGCGCTGGGGGGCACCAAGCTCCTCAAGAAGGAAGGAGAGCCAGCGAGCCTCTTGTGCAGCCATGGTGGCGGCATACAACTCGGCTTCGCAGGACGAGAGGGCGATAGCCGAGGAGCGCGTGGAACGCCAGCTAATGAGGCCGCTGCCAAGAGAGAAGCCATAGCCCTGAGAGGAGCGACGATCTGGTCGGGAATCAGCCCAGGAGGAGTCACTGTAGCCGCTGAGGAGAGGTGGGGAAGGGCCGCCAAGGGTAAGGACATAGTCCTTGGTGCCACGAAGGTACCGGAGGACGCGCTTGGCAGCCTGCCAGTGCTCGTCCGTATGCTTGCCAGCGCCAACAAACCGAGCGAGGACGCTGATGGGGTAGGCAAGGTCAGGGCGAGTGGAGACCATGGCGTACATGAGGGAGCCAATGAGCTCGGGATAAGGATGGGAGGACGATGAGGGGGAGGTGGGTGGAGAGAGGTGGTGCCCGACAGAAAGAGGTGTAGGTTGGGCGCCGCCGCGGGCCATGTCAAACCGCTCCAAGACCTGCTGCAAGTAATGACCCTGGGAGAGTGAGATGGTGCGGGCGGAGCGGTCACGGGTGATGGTCATGCCCAGGTAATGCTGCAGTTCTCCCAAGTCTTTGCACTTGAGACGGCTACCCAACTCAGCCTTAACACGTTCCAACTCTCCAAGGTCGGCAGTGAGTAGAATCATGTCATCGACATACACAAGGATGTAAAATGGGGAGGGGGAGGTGCGGAGGAAGAGGCTGGCGTCAGAGCGGGAGGTGCGGAACCCAAGTTCAGCAAGGGTGGCGGCAAGTTTAGCATGCCACTCCCTCGGGGCCTGTCGGAGCCCATACACAGGTCGACGCAGCTGCCAGACAGAGTCTGCTGGGAAGGGGAGGTGAGAGCCGGCTGGACGCTCCATGTAGATAAGCTCGCGGAGGACGCCTTGCAGGAAGGCGTTAGAAACGTCCATCGAGTGGATCTCCATATTGAGGCGAGCGGCGAGGTCGAGCACGGCGCGAACAGTAGCAGGCTTGGCAGTGGGGGAGAAGGTATCGAAGAAGTCAAAACCATACCGCTGCGTGAACCCCTTGGCGCAGTAACGAGCCTTATAGACGGGCGGCTCCCCTGGTAGCTGCTTGACGCGAAACACCCACTTGCCTTTCACCACGTTCGTAGGGGCGGGAGGGCGAGGCACATCAACAAAAGAGGAGTTGCCGATAAAAGCCTCCAGCTCCTTGATGATGGCGGCGAGCCATAGTGGAGCGTCAGGGCACGCCATCGCCTCCTCATACGTGGTAGGAACGAAAATGGAGGGAGCAGAGGAGAAGGCGAAGACAGGTGTGCCGGAAAGGTCGAACGTGATGGGTAGAAGCGAGGGGTTATAAAGGTGGAGGTCAAGGAACTCCTCATGGGAGTCCTCAGAGAGGGAGGTGTGGAAGGCGCGGATGACTGCTGGTGCCGCTGCTGGTGCCGCTGCTGGTGCCGCTGCTGGTGCCGCTGCTGGTGCTGCTGGTGCCGCTGCTGGTGCCGCTGCTGCGTCCGCCGCTGCTGGTCCCGCTGCTGCTGCCTCTGCTGGTCCCGCTGCGGGGTCCGCTGCTGGGGCCGCTGCTCGTGCCGCTGCTGGTGCCGCTGCTGGTGCCGCTGCTGGAGAGGAGGTGGCTAAGGAGGCTGTTGCATGAGGGGCTTGATGCAAAACAGCCTGGAAGAAGTGACGAAGGAGGGGGGAGAGAGGGGGGAGGGTAGAGGTAGAGAGGGTAACGGGAGGTGGTGCACCAAGGATGCTGTCACGTGACCTGGTGTGGGGATACCGGGTGAGTATAGTGCGGGGAGGGGAAGGATGGGTCAGTGGCGAGGGAGAGGAAGGGGGGGGAAGGGGGGCACTAGGAGAGGAGTGAGCGGGGGAGACAGGAGAAGACAAAGGGTCCGGGTCAAAGATGTCACCAGACGAGGGAGGGGTACCGTGGGACTGGGACGGCGGAGGGGGGGAGGGTGGGAGGATGGGGGGAGGAGGGAGTAGTGGGGGAGGGGTGGTGTCAGACCAGACAAGGGGACGGGTGAGAGGGGGGAGTGGGTCAGTAGATGGAGGGGAGGAGTAGTAGGGAGTGGACTCGTCAAAGACCACATCCCTGCTGCGGATTAGACGACCGGATGGGGGGTGGAGGAAAAGGTAGTCGGGGGAGGAGGGGTTATGACCAAGGAAGACGCAAGGAAGGGTACGAGGGGCAAGCTTTCCCATGGATCGGGAGCGGTCAGAGGGGTGAATAAGGACATGTGCCTTAGAGCCCCAGACACGAAGTGATGAGGCATCAGGCTTGTCCTTCGTCCAAAGCTTAGTGGGGGTGATGGAGGGGAGAAGGGGGTGAGGGTAGAGGTTAGTAAGGAGGGCGGCATGAAGGAGGGCGTAGCCCCAAAGAGAAGGGGGGCAGGAGGCGTGGACAAGCAGACACCGGGCTGTTTTGGTGATCTCTCGAACACGACTCTCAGCCACACCGTTCTGCTGTGGGGAGTGAGGGAGGGTGTAAGTCTGAAGGATGCCACGAGACTGACAATAGGAGGAGACTTGGTTGTTAAGGAACTCACCACCTCCATCAGAGTGAAGGCGGCGAACAGGGCGCCCAAAATGGGTGTTTGCCCGCTCGAGCCAGGCGATGATCGCAGCCGGGGCATCCGCCTTTGTCCGAAGAAGAGAGACGGACGAGTACCGACTGTGATCATCAACAAGCACAAGAAGGTAGCGATGGCCCTGGCGAGTGGGAGAGGGATTAGGGCCCCATAGGTCCATGTGAACAAGATCAAGTGGCTGAGCAGCAGCGGAGGGGGAGCTCCGGTGCGGCTGCTGCTTGAGCTTGCTCTGAACGCAGACGGTGCAGGGGGGTGCAGGGGATTTGGGGAGGGGAGGGAGGGAGGAGGGGAGACCGTGGAGGAGACCGGAGGAGACAGATGAGCGAAGAGTAGCGAAGTTGGGGTGACCTAGCCTGTGATGGAGGAGGATGGTGGGGTGGGAGAGGGAGCGACAGGAACAGTCAGAGTCAGGAGGGCGGGGTGGGAGGGGTGGGTTAGTGGGAGGGAGGGGAGGGGGAGGGGGAAGGAGGGGGGGGGAGGCAACTTGGAAGGTGAGGGGGCGGGGAACCCGAAGGGTGTACAAACGGGAGCGGGGACAATAGGGAATACGGGCGAGAAAACGACCTGTGGAGGTTTGGTATAGGTCACAATGGTTAGCACCACCTGGGATGAGAGTGGTGATCATGGCTTGTTGGAGGGACCTTTGGGAGAGGAGGTTAGTACGAAGGGAGGGAATGTGGAGTCCGGTGACAGTACCTGAGGGAAAGAGAGGACAGGGAAGGGTGGAGGTGTTGTGACAAGGGATGGAAAAATTGCTATCAGCGCCGAGGAGGGAGGTTGGTGTGGGGAGAGGGCGCAGTGTACCAGCGTCACGAAGGACAGTGTCAGTGGCTCCACTGTCCAGAACGAAGTCAATGGTGGAGGAAGGTGAGGCAGAGTACTGGAACGACGTTTCATTAGCAGAAGAAGGGTACATGGGAGATGCAACAGATTCAGGTTGACCTAATAAACCAACAAAACCAGAGGAAGGGAAAGCGGTCGCACTGCCACCTGCAGACGGCGCCGGGGATGCACCCGAGAGATGGGCTGCAGAGGCAGCACTCCCAGCAGTCCAGGCAGGAAAGGGCTGCTGCTGGGATACCGGAGGAGGAGGGAGGAGGGGCAGTTGCGGCTGGAGGTCTAGCTGCTGCTGGAGTTGCTGGAGCTGCTGCTGGAGCTGAGATAGGAGAAGCTGCTGCCCATACTGCTGTGACCCCTGCTGCTGATTCCCAAGCTGCTGCTGCTGTTGCTGCTGCTGGTGCTGCTGCTGGGGAGGGGCGAGGGCCTGGTGGGCGTGGGTGGAGGAGGAAGGTTCATAGAGGGGAGAGGAACGGACCTCAAGGGGAGTGGGGCGAGGGTTGAGGGCGGACCAGCGAGGAGGGGTGCCGGTGTTGCCACGGGCAAACCACTCATCACTGAGTGCCTTGAAGCACGTCTCAGTGGCATGGGTGGTTTGGCCGCAGCGCTGTCCCTGAGTGGGACCGTAGCGAGGCAGGTACTGACAGGGAGGAAAGGCAGCTGCGGCACCACGACCTGTACCTCCGCTACCAGCACCACCGCGTCCTGCTGATCCCCCTCGTCCACCCCCACGCCCACCACCACGCCCACCCCCACGCACACCACCACGGCCACCCCGGCTGCTGCGCGATTGGGCTGCTGCGGCTGTGGAGGAAGAGTGGCGAAGGATCTCAGCTTCGGTGGTGATAATCCACTGAGCGACTTCAGCAGGGGTGTGGTGCTTGGAGATAAGCTGCATGTACGCAAGCTTGTGAGCGTCGAAGGCAGGTGTCAGGCCCTCAAGAAGGTGGCAGCAAATGACAGCATCTGGGTACACCACATCAAGTGCTGCAAGGCGTCGAGCGAGATCTAGGACGCGGCGAGTGAAGGCAGCTGCGCCGGAGGTTGAATCCATAGAGAGAGTTCCGAATTCTTTGATAAGAGCGTAGAGGGTGGCGACGTCTTGACGGTCGAAAAGGTCGACGAGTGATCGCCACAGGTGGGAGGAGGAGGTGGGTGAGAGCTCGCGTTTGAGGGAGGAGGGAATGGTGGCGAGAAGAATGGCAAGCGCGCGTCGGTCAGCAACTCGCCAGGCAGTGATTTTGGTGGTGTAGTCGGCAAGTTGTGCAGCGTAGGTGTTGAGGTCCTCCTGGTACTTGTTGTGGAGGGCAGCAGCAGCATCATATGTGCGCTTGTCCTCTTCGTAACGCAGTTGCTGGCGTAGGTGCTCTTGGAGAGCGGTGCGGTATGTGCGAATGGCGGTTTCCGAGCTCTGTGGGTCGTTTATATTCGGCGCGAAGGTGGGAGGGTCACCCGGGGGGATAGGCTCGGCCCCAGGAGTGACGGGGGCAGGCCCAGTAGGAGCGGTGGGGGCGACGGGCTGAAGACCGGTGTCTTCCTGGAATACAATCGATCGAAGGTTGTAGCCGATGACTACGATAGAGGAGAGAAGCACCTCGACTGAGTGAGCGTAAGAGTGCCAATTAGCAGCACAGTTGTCAGCAAGTAGCTCAAGTGCGTCAACTGTAGCGAGATCGGCAGAGGAGTCGGATGATGATGCCATAGGGACGAGGTCGAGGAGAGGGAAGAGGAGGAGGCAGGTAATGTGCTGGTCTCGCTGCCGCTGCTGGTCCCGCTGCTGCTGCCGCTGCTGGTCCCGCTGCTGCTGCCGCTGCTGGTCCCGCTGCTGCTGCCGCTGCTGGTCCCGCTGCTGCTGCCGCTGCTGGTCCCGCTGCTGCTGCCGCTGCTGGTCCCGCTGCTGCTGCCGCTGCTGGTCCCGCTGCTGCTGCCGCTGCTGGTTCCGCTACCGCTGCCGCTGCTGGTCCCGCTGCTGCTGCCGCTGCTGGTCCCGCTGCTGCTGCCGCTGCTGGTCCCGCTGCTGCTGCCGCTGCTGGTGCTGCTGCTGGGTAGAACAGGAGGAGGACGAACGGGGGAGGGGGGGGGGAGGAGGGAGGGAGGAGAGGGGGAGGAGAGGGGGGCGGGGGGGCGCGGTGTGGTTGGAGGGCGGGAGGACGACGACGACGAACAGGCTTGCGGCGAACCCGTTGGGCGAGGAGGTGCGATGCGGAGGCGCTGGACGAGGAGGCCTGCTGCGGACGCGCGCGACAGGCAGAGTCGCCGCGGATGCACGCAACAAAGGAGCCCGTGCGGCGAGCAGGTCGCAGCCGTCGGTGAGCAGATCGCGACCGTCGGCGAGCAGATTGCGGCCGTCAACGAGCAGATCGACGCCGTCGACGAGCAGATCGGGGACGTCGACGAGTGAATCGCGGCCGTCGAGCAGAACGCGGCCGTTGACGAGGAAATTGCGGCCGTTGAAGAGGAAATCGCGGCCGTCGCAAAGGTAGGTCGCGGAGAGGGCAAATACGGTCCGCGGGAGGGCGGATCTGGTCCGCAGGAGGGCGGATCTGGTCCGCAGGAGGGCGGATCTGGTCCGCGGGAGGGCGGATCTGGTCCGCGGGAGGGCGGATCTGGTCCGCGGGAGGGCGGATCTGGTCCGCGGGAGGGCGGATCTGGTCCGCGGGAGGGCGGATCTGGTCCGCGGGAGGGCGGATCTGGTCCGCGGGAGGGCGGATCTGGTCCGCGGGAGGGCGGATCTGGTCCGCGGGAGGGCGGATCTGGTCCGCGGGAGGGCGGATCTGGTCCGCGGGAGGGCGGATCTGGTCCGCGGGAGGGCGGATCTGGTCCGCGGGAGGGCGGATCTGGTCCGCGGGAGGGCGGATCTGGTCCGCGGGAGGGCGGATCTGGTCTGCGGGAAGGCGGATCTGGTCCGCAGGAGGGCGGATCTGGTCCGCGGGAGGGCGGATCTGGTCCGCAGGAGAGAGGATAGCGCCTAAGACGTGAAGCGGGAGGTAGCGCTTAAGGAAACACAGGGAGGGAGGCCATTATTGGCCGGGTAGGAAGAGAGGTACATGTTAGGACGGTCCTAAGGATCTTGGTAGGGCGTGAGCCATAAGCTCTGAATACCATGTGAGAAAGAAGAATTGTTGCACTGAATAATGAGCCAAAAGGCTCTTTAGTACAAGCAATGAGCAAGAGAGAGATAAGAGGGAAGCTTACCCTATTGGCCAATAAGTTGGCCAATGGGTGAGTTTGCTTGTGGCCCAAGCAACCACAAAATGTGTGTTGGTTGGGATTGGTTAAGGTAAGGACCAATCCCCACCAACCACAAAATGTGGTTGGAGGGTACACTAACCAACCCCCCAATTTATAAGACTGCTGCACATCTAAGTCTAGCCTATGCATGTTGTATAAAATATGGAATTACAACAGGAGGGTGAGAAGTGAGGACAGGGGGATATGTGATTGTGTATGAAACAAGGGGTGATGTGTGTACTACGCATCGCCCCTTGCGCCACTCTCCCTCTTCATTCCTCTCCCTCTTCATTCCTCTCCCTCTTCATTCCTCGCCTCCCCTTTTCCTTGTTCAAAAGCTGTTGACCGGCCTAAGAGGGTCAGGTCAGGCAGAGAGGACCAGAGAGCTAGGTTATATGGAACACCATGCTGAGTGCCTTTTGAGTCGACTCAGAAGTCACCTAAGAGGGTCAGGCAGAGAGGAATAGAGAGCTAAGTTATATGGAACACCATGCTGAGTGCCACATTCCTCACCTCCCCGTTTTCTCATTGCACCTGCTCTTTATGAGCCTGAGAGGGCCAGGAGGACGCGTGGATGCAGTAATATGGAAAGCCATGCTGAGTGCGCTGGGAAAGGACAGGCGGATGGGGAAGAGTTCATCTGCACACGCATGCTCTCTTCATTCCCCCTCTACACCTCCCTTCTCTGCCCGTTGCAGCTGGTCTTTGCAAGCCTGAAAGGATCGGGCAGGGACTTGGATGCAGTGATATGGAGCGCCATGCTGAGCGCTCTGGGGAAGAACGCGTGGGCGGGAAGGAGCGAGAGCCAGCCACACACATGATCCCATTCTTTCTCCCCATTCGTCCACTCCCTCTTGTTGCACCCTTGCAGCTGCTCTTCACCAGCCTGAGGGGCTCGGGCAGGGACTTGGACGCAGTGATATGGACCGCCATGCTGAGTGCGCTGGGGAAGAAGGCGCGGTTGGTGAAGTGCCAGCCACAGACACACACGGCCCCGTTCACTCTCCCTCGTTCAATATGGAACTCCATGCTGAGTGCGCTGGGGAAGAACGGACGGGGAGGTGGGGAAGAGACAGATGCATCAACTCATGCACTCTCCTCCCTCCATTCCTCACATCCTTGTCCCCTTGTGTGCAGTTGCTTTTCACAAGCCTGAGAGGGTCGGGCAGGGACTTGGACGCAGTGATATGGAACGCCATGCTGAGCGCGTTTGGGAAGAACGGGCGGGTGGAGGAGGCAAAGGAGCTGTTTGCAGAGATGCAGGAGTGCGGGCCGGCACCGACTGTTTATTCCTACTCTATTATGATCGATGCGTGAGTTGATGCGTGCGTGGGTGTGGAGGGAGAGTGAGAATGCAAGGGAGGGAGGGAGGGAGGGAGGGAGTGACGTGGGTGGAGGAGGCGAAGGTGCTGTTTGCAGAGATGCAGGAGTGCGGGCCGGCACCAACCATTTACTCCTACTCTATTATGATTGACGCGTGAGTTGATGGATGCATGAGTGGGTGTGGAGGGGGCGATGGTGGGGGAGGAGGGGTTGGTGCTGTTTGCAGAGATGCAGGAGTGTGGGCCAGCACCCACAGTTTACTCTTTCTCGATTGAGCAATGACCTTACGCTATTACGATTGACGTGTGAGTGGGCATACGTTCAGTGACTGTAAGGTCATGCCACACTGATTGATTGCACTGGGGTGGGTGGAGAAGGTGGCGCCGCTGTTTGCAGAGATGCAGGAGTGTACTCTTACTCTATTACGATTGACGCGGGATTTGATGCGTGCGTGGGTGTGGAGGGAGGGAGAAAGAGAGTGCGAGGGAGTGATGTGATGGTGGGGGAGGAGGTGGGGGTGCTGTTTTCTCTCCAACCGAGAAACGGGTCGGTCAAACCGAGCTTGCAGCTCTACCCGTTTCTCAGTTCGAGAGTGATGGTGGGGGAACAGGTGGGGGTGCTGTTTGCTGACATGCAGGTGTGCGGGCCGGCAGGCACCCACTGTGTACTTACTCCACCCATGATTGATGTGTGAGTGGGTGGGTGCACCCTGCACAGGAAGTGGGTGTGGAAGAGGAAGAGAGCATAGGGTTTGGGGTTTAAGGAAAAGCCGATCGCATCCTCGATGCTTCCACCACCTTTGCCCGCATGCTCTCTTCAGTCCTTCGCCCCTCCCTGGTGACCTTCAACTCCATGCTCGCTGCCTACCCCTCTCCTGCCCTCTTTCCCTGCCGTCCCTTCCTGATACAGCTACGGCAAGGCCGATCGGATTCTCGACGCCTCCAGTACCTTTGCCCGTATGCTCGCCTCTGGTCTGCGCCCCTCCCTGGTGACGTTCAACTCCATGTCGCTGCCTACCGCCGCGCCGGCATGGTCAACGACACCACCGCTGCTCATCCCTCTCCTCCCCTCCTGCTTCCTGCCTCCTGCCCCTTCTCCCCTGCCCCATTCCCCCCCCTCTACCTCCTGTTTCATGTCGTCCTGTCCACCGTCCCTGCAGTTATGGAAAAGCCGATCGGATTCTCGATGCATCAACCACCTTTGCCTGTATGCTCGCCTCGGGTCTGCGTCCCTCTCTAGTCACCTTCAACTCCATGCTCGCTGCCTACCGCCGCGCCGGCATGGTCAACGACGCCGCTGCTCTGTTCCGCCGGATGAGAGCAGAGGGGGTGCCGCCCAGCCATGTGTCGTATGCCATTCTCATCCACACACATGCACAGGCGGGCGATTTGAGGGAGGCCACACGCCTGTTCAGGTGAGCATGGAGCATGAGGGTTGGGGCACAGGGCACAGGGCACAGGGCACAGGGCACAGGGCACAGGGCACAGGGCACAGGGCACAGGGCACAGGGCACAGGGCGTGATGGTTGATGCTCCTCCCAAGGATGAGAGCAGAGGGGGTGCCGCCCAGCCATGTGTCGTATGCCATTCTCATCCACACACATGCTCAGGCGGGCGATCTCTGAAGGGCCACTCGGCTCATCAGGTGAGTTGGGGTGCCTGGGGCATGAGGCACGGGGCACGGGGCACAGAGCATGGGAATGGGGCATGGGTTGTGTGTGTGGCCTGTGATTCTTCTCTGCACGCACGCGCGGGTGGGGAATCCCAGAGAGGTCACATGACCGTTCTGGTAATCTTGTGTTCGCTAGCTGCTTTCGGGGATGGGCGGGAAACAGAAGCCTCAGAAACAGGGCATGGGGCGCAGGGACAGTAAGTGTGCTGTGGACAACACCCTACTCTCCACCAAATCATCTCCATGCTGAGAAGGATTGGTTGGAGTGGCCGGGGCCAGTCAAGACTGGTCAAGCTTTAGGTCCTACAGATCAATCCAAGTCTCCATTCACTCCGCCTCCTCACTCACTCAACGCTTCCCTTACCCACCCGCCACTGCAGAGAGCTGCAGGACAGTGGGTGTGCTGTGGACAACCCGACTCTCCACCGAATCACCTCCATGCTCAGACGGGCCGGCCGAAGCCACTCCAGCATGCTCTAGGGCCTAAAGTTTCCGGTTTCTGGTTTGATGGAAGTCTCGATGGCGACTCAGATATGATAGCTGGTTTGGAAATTGTTGTGATTGCGAGTTGGCTCACGGCAAGACTCGACTGCAGGCTTCGCCCCGTTGATTAAATCTTGCATATTCAGGGCAAACCGTTTTGGAGCAGGGTATCAGAGGCTCGAGTCAACGAAGGGGGCACTGCACAGCTGTATCTGATGTGCGATCTCCCTACGGATGTTTTCTGTATATGCCAAGCAGGTTTGCTGCATTCGGTTTGGCGTATGCCACAATGGCTGATTCTGTTTTAGTAATGATTCGAACTCCCCCCTCCCCCTTCATCCAAATTTGATATTAGGCTCACTGTTTTTAGAAATTTATTAGGTATATGAAACTTCCTTTCACTGTTATTTGTGTGAGGGCAACAAATCATAATACGGGAATTTCTGAACTGGAAATCGTGTTTGAGCGTCAAACTGAAGCGAACGATGTGGAAAAGACGCGGGAAAGCCTTACCGCGTCTCGGCTTGTTCCCGAGGTTAGGCTGGGCACTGATGAGTGTACGGTCAGTTCAGTTTGTTTTCGAAATTCTAGTTTTGGGTTCGGTCCTGACGGTTTTGATAAGTTTTAGGCGTTGACCGCGCTTAGCAAGTAGGCAAAGCCATGCAAACCTCGTTCCCCATGCCAAAGCATGCTTAGTCATTCTCTACCGTCCGATCCTATTCACTGAACGTTCAGGCAGTGTTCACCGTCGATGGTGTAAAGTCTCTCATGTCAGTCCTTTCGCTCATCCTTTCCGCATCATCCACATCTGCGCTTCATCATACCCATTCATGGCTTCTCAGTAAATAAATACGTGTATCAGTAGTTCAAGCAGCATCAGCACAACCACCATCAGCGCACCAGACATTAGGACTCCCTCATGATAGGAGCTTCTTATTCTTTTCGTTGTAGTACAGGAAACGTGAGTTTTCCTCTTTGCGTGACTAACTCATTTGAGGTGGTGCGGAAGCCGTTGAGACTCGGTAGTGGGTGCTGAATACTCCGTTCCAACGCCTCGTTGCCAGAAAGATATCAAGAGGAAGTTGCTTGTACGACGCCGTTCATTGTAGTTACATCATCTGATTCGTAAAATCATTTATCCCGTCCATATTAGCCACTCGTCAGTGGTAGCTCCCGCCATGCCGACTCTGTATGTCATGAAGGTGAGAAGGGATTCTCTGCTTCTCTATGCTGTCAACGCGTCTTGCGTAGATGAGTAATGTCTAGATTTATTGCTCGGGATTAAAGCTTGATGCCCCCCCTTCTCGGCTAGATCAAGTCAAGTCGCTTCTATAGGACAAGGGGATGACGCTCGCAACTCGTCTCGCGGCGACCGACTCCGGGAACTCACAACAGCAGCATCCTCCCCATCGGATTCAGGCGAAACTACCGTTTTTTTTTTTTTTTTTTGCACCCTTACTTTTCTTAATCCGTTTACCCTTTCCCCTCTTCCTGCACCGTTCCCCTCTTCCTCCGCTTTTCATCCCCTCTATTCACCGTTCCCCCTCCCCTACAGGTCAATTGCGATGGCGTGTTGCGTCGCATCTCGTCCCGCTGCTCCCCTCCGTCGTTCCGCCACGTCAGCCTTCGGATTCGCGCGCTTCTCGACATCCCCGCCAGCAAGCCGATTTTGCTGACGTACAGAGATACTGACGGTGACGTCATCGCGCTCTCCACGGACGAAGATCTGCACGACGCTTTCGTTTTTCAGGAACTGAATCCGTTGCGTGTTGACGTGGTCTTTGACGGAAACGCTGACGGAAACGCTGATGCTGACAAGGACGCTGACGTGAACGCTGTCGTTAATAGTGACGGCGACTTGACAACTGCCAAAGTGACGGATACTGTAAAGTCAGACGCTAAGTGTCTTCTTCCAGCCGTCAGCACGTCGGTTGCTGTCAGCACCGACAACCTGCTCCCACCTCCCTCGCATTCTGCAAAGAAAAGCAATGACCCATCCTCCATCTTGGGAGCTACAAGTGACGCTGGTGCTGCTACGGGAGAAGCAGTTGCTGCTGATGCTACGGTCCCTGTTTCTTCAGGAAAGGCAGTTAGTACTGATACGACCGTGACTGCTGCTTCTGGGGAAGCAGTCGCTGACGATGATACTACTACGGTCACTGCTGCTTCAGGGAAAGAAACAACCGAGATTACTGTTGATGATACCTTGACTGCTGGTTCCGGGTTGCCAGAAGCAGATACAGGCGTCTCGTTCAATACAACCGATTCAACTGCTGCTACCGTTCCATCAGCTGCTACCGTTCCATCAGCTGCTACCGTTCCATCAGCTGCTACCGTTCCATCAGCTGCTACTGTTCCATCAGCTGCTACCGTTCCATCAGCTGCTACCGTTCCATCAGCTGCTATCGTTCCATCAGCTGCTACTGTTCCATCAGCTGCTACCGTTCCATCAGCTGCTACCATTCCATCAGCTGCTACTGTCTCATCTTCTGCTAAGCTTCCATCTGCTGCCATTCCATCTGCTGCTGTCAGTTCATCTGCCCCTGAAGCTGCTGCTTCTCCTGCTGGTGTTACCGCCCCTGCCTCCAAGCCTGCTGTTTCTGGCTTTGCTGCTTTCGCTACCACTCCTGGGCCTGCCTCCTCTGCTTTTGCTGCTTTCGCTGCCGCTGCTGCTTCTCGCACCTCCAACCCCGCTGCTGGCACATCGCGTTCCAGTTTTGGCGCCCCTACTCCTGCAGCTAGCACCACTGCTGCTGCTTCTGGTGCTTCCAATGCCTGCGGGACTGCCAATCCCGCTGCTGGCACCTCGTCTTCAGGGTTTCACACTGCCACTGCTGCGTTCGGTGCCACCAGTGCTTCTAGCGCTGCCACTCCCACTGCAAGCACCATCTCGTCTGGGCTTGGCACTGCAACTCCTGCTTCTGGCACTGCCAACTCCGCCAACTCTGCTTCTAGCACCCTGTCTTCTGGCTTTGGTGCTGCCACTTCTGCTCGTGGCTCACTCACTCCTCTTTTTGGTAACACAACGACAACCAATAGCATATTCCCTGCCAGCTGGCCTGCTCCGACCACAACATCACCAAGCCTGTCCAAACCATCAATGGCTGGCGCGTCTTCTATCTTTCCCTCCTCGCCTGCCGTTGCAACTGCCTCATCTGCTCTCAGCAACACAGCAACAGCCGCACCCCTCTTCTCGAAGCCTCTGGTATCTGGTTCGTTGCCTACCTTTGGCTCATCATCTCCTACTGCCACTTTCCCCTCTTTTCCCAGCAACACAGCAACAGCAACACCCCTCTCTTCCAAGCCCGTGGGAACTGGCCTTTTTTCCCCAGCTTTCCCGCCTCCGCCCAGCACTACAGCAACCGCACCACCCCTCTCCTCCAAGCCTCCAGCAGTCACCGCTTCTTCTGCTCCTTCTCTGAGTTTCTCTAGCTTTGCCCCTGGCGCAACCTTTCATCCCACCCAGCCCTCTGCCTCACTATGGCAATCCAAGTAGCTGCTGTTTCAGTTGTTGCAGCTTTCCGCCCTTGCCCTCCTCCTTTCCGCCCTTGCCTTGCTGCTTTCCGGCCTTGCACTGCTGCTTTCCGGCCTTGCCCTGCTGCTTTCCGGCCTTGCCCTGCTGCTTTCCGCCCTTGCTCTCCTGCTTTCCGCCCTTGCTCTCCTGCTATTGCCACTTCAGCAGCAGTAACAAGCCTCTCCTCCCCCTGATCCTCCAATCCCCTCATTTTCGTCTGCTCCTTCTCCGAGCTCTTGCACCCTTCATCCCTGGTGCAGTCTTCTACCCCATCCAGACCCCTGCCATTCCATGGCATTCCAAGTAGCTGCCGTTCCTTCTGCTCCTGCATTCGGCGCTCCTCCTGGTTTTCACCATTCTGCCTCGATTTTGGCACTTGTACTGCTTTTGTCGCATCAACAGTAACAGCAGCAATCTTCTTCTCATGCTCTGGGAGTTTTTACCTTCCGCCCTGGAGCTGCCTTCTCTCCCATCCAAGGCTCTCTGCCATGTATTCGCAGGCCACATCATGTGCTGCTCCCTGTATAGTGTCTCAGCTGGGGTAGAATCATGTATCATGGCTGCAATGTTTGTACGTACGGGTCGATGTATTGCAAGATTTTTCTTTTGAAATTTTGATATAAAATTGTCAACCGATATATGAGAACGAACCTTGTATCGCATCAGAAAACGAATAACGAACCTGTGACACTGTGAACTGCTGATACAATGAAAGGCATGCGATTATATAGCGAGACAACCTAGCTAGGC